TGTGGCATCACTGACCCAAAACCTGCGGTAGCAGGTGAGGATGCTGCAGGGCTCTCATCTGCCAGGAAAAGCTTTTAAAATTGGTTTGGCAGACAGGGGAGGATCAGGTGTTGATTCTGGCTGTGTTTACTCAGTAGCAGTGGCCGTTTCTGACTGTTGCACTGATTTCTTTTAAACCTTGCTTGCCAGGAGAAGGGATATAGGTTACTGAGCATCTTCAGACCGTGTTACTATTGTAACTCTTTCTAAACCCATTTAAATCTAAGCAAGAGCAAGCTTTAAATATAAATAAGAATTTCAGTGTCTCTGAAGATACTATCACAAACATCCTTGAGCATCTTACTCCAGTGTGATTTGTGCATGGTTCCTGCAGCAGACTAATGATTTATTTACTTGTTTGTTTGCTGGGAAAGAAGCAGGAACAGGTGATTATTTTTTAGTAGTGTAGTTAATCCTGGCTTAACTCCATCATTGCCAATCCATTCTGAGTGGACACAGTAACCACTTGTTTCTGCAAGCTATCACGTGATACTGTAGCTTATAGCTGGCCAGGAGAGAGAATCATAGAATCATTGAGTTGGAAGGAACACTTAAAGGTCGTCTAGGGTGCAATCAACAGGGACACCTACAGCTCCATCAGGTGCTCAGAACCCCCTCCAGCCTGACCAGAGTGCCTCCAAGGACAGGGCATCCACCACCTCTGTTGTGCAGATCTTGTCTCTGGCTGGCATGGCTGACCTTCCCACCAGATTCTTAACGTGAGCTCCCCTTGTTCCTACTGACAGCAATTGGTCCTCTCCAGGGGTCAAACTGTGCCTAAAATAGAGGTGCCCCACTCTTTCAGCATGTGAGAGGATGATTTCATTAGTTGGCGTGCACCGAGCTGCTCAGACACCGCACAGGAAAACACAATAGTGCAAATGAAAGCAGGAGGAGGAACAAACCCATCAGGCTTTCTGAAGTGTTTGTAGAAAGTGCAGAGCTGGGATGTTGTTTCTTTATACTGACTGAGTAGACTGACATGTTGCAAAATACAAAGGCTCTGCATATTCCCAGCAGTGGTGTGAAAACTAGAACTACCCAGAAGCAAAACCTATCATTAGCAGGCAGCCAAGCACAGCAGCTTCTCCAGCACCAGGAACAGGCACAGAAGGGAGGGAGGGCCTGAGCAGCCCCGAAAGAGCTTTTCTTATGGCCAAGAGTGTGCAGCAGTCTCGTTGAGAGAAGTAAAGAGCTGTGATTTAACGAAGGCAGTGCATGGAGTCTGCCCTCCTCAAAGGGCATTCTCATCCCAGTAGCATCTCTCTGTCGAGCAGTATGGGCATTGGGTCTGCTCCCAAAAAATGAGTGATTCTGAAACTGTTACTTTTCTCACTTTCCTTCCCACCCAGTCCTATCAAGCTGTCCTGAAAAATTGTCCTTTTCTTGTCCTCCCGGGTCCTTGCTGTGATCCATGACATCCTGGAGGCGTGTAATAATCGAAACTGAAATCTGTGCTGTGCACTCTGTTCTCTCCAGCAACCCAGGGTGGAGAAAGTATTGACATGCCCTGATTTATCCCCTACAGATGTCATCTCCCTAGGAGCTGGCTTTTATTTGGAGGAAAGAGGGGCACACAGTGTTGCAGAAAAGCATCTGATTCAGAAGGAAAGGAAGAAGAAAGTTTAAAGGACTAGGCTGAATGGATGTGCGGAGCATCACAGCTTTCCAAACCCAATGATCTAAGCAGTTAGCACCAATGTTTCTGTTGCCAGGAGCAAGAGGAATGAGCATTTCATTTATGATGACTCTCCTCAAATTTGACTGCTCAGGAGGACTTTTGCATTCAGACTTCTGCAGATGTCATTCCCCACCACCAGGTCTAGCCCAGATCCAAAGATGAGAAGCAAGATCAGCAGGTCACTGCGTTTATCCCAGTGTGAGCTGTGGGTGTCCCAATGCAGGGAGCAGGGATGGCACCAGGACATGTCTGAGGGAGCAGCAATGATGCTGTCCTGAGAGTGGAGATGGGGAGGGCACTGTGCTGCCAGCCAAAACTTGGGGACATCACTTCCACCACTGCACTGCAATGCATTTTAATCTCGTATCTATCTCCACTACACAACCATCATTTACCTGCTGGTAAGCTCCTGTGATCAGAAATAAAAGGTGAAGCCAGCAGCCCTCTGAGGATAGAGCTGTGCAGCTTCACAATACTGTGCTTCATGGAAAACAGGGGAAAATGCTGCATTCATAATATATCACTCATATCCTTGTTTGTAAACAGATTTATCACACCATCTGCAGAATGGTGTTGCAGACTCCATATTTATTTTCTTTCCATTTATATAGCACAGCTCCTGCCTAATTAATTTCATTTTTACAGTTATATACATTAGCAGTCTCTTTTTTTTGTCTTTCCCAAAAAAAAAAAAAGAAAAGGGAATACACTCTCTTTGTATCAATCAAATTTTTTCAGCTCAGTGCAAAATAGCTCAGGCCTTTACTGCTCTGAGATTTACCTGCCTGGGTTTGCTTCTCATCTCTTCACATCTGTGTGGGGCAGCTGGGGGGGAAAGGATGATTTAGGACAACTCTGCTGGTAAACAGGATGCGCTGTTGGTATTTCCTATCTCCTGTTGCACTGGGCTAGCTTAATTTTCAGAAATCAGCAAAGCTTAAGGTCAGTGATCCTATTATAATCTCTCTGACTTTCTGTAACTGATACTGTATATAAAGATGTATTTGTCCAACTGGGAGAAAAAAACCAGTCTGTTACGTTATCTGGTTTGATAAGAAAGGTTTAGTCATATGCAAATAAAAAGGTGATTTATTGAGTATAAAAAGAAGTCACTGAAAGAGAGAAGAAGCTTGCAGTCAGCAGCTGTGCAACCAGATTCTCTGCTTGGTGTAGGTGCATACTTTCACTCTGGGGAGAGCAAAGAGCTGGGGCTTCAGCTGAGCCAAGAATAGGGACAGGTCTCACTCAGGGCATTGGGGTGGTGATGGGGCTAGCACATGATTTCATGCTAATTGCTTTTATAGGAACAAAAATGCCTGGAGTCCCAATTGCCTGAGTCAAAGGGAAGGCAAAGGACCTTGAGTTGTGGGAGCCCACCAAAGGAGGGTCTGGAGTGGATAGGCTGTGCTGTGCCTCATGCAGATGCAGCCTTGGGCTGTGGATCCGTCTTGACAAACAGAAACTGGAAGAGGACCCCTGGGGGCAGGAGGCTTTGCCTCCCTCCCTCTGGATAGGGAGGATTTCTGTTCTTTGCATTGTGCCTAGCCCAAATTCCTGAGCTGGAGTAGAGAAGGAGCTGGAGGTGACTAACTCCAATGAGACTTTTGCCAAGAATGAAAAGTGAGTAGGCTCTGGTCTGCAGACACCGATGACAAATCTTAGAAACTCAAGCCAATTCTTTGGCAGGAGAGTTGTTATTTTTTTGTTTCTTTTTTCCTTTAGTGGCCCTTTTTATTAGTTTTTAGCTGTACAGTATGTTCTCAGATGGTATATTCACAACTTCACGTTTTCCAGTCGTGGCCATTGCCAACTGGGTGCTTGGACAAGAAAGTGTTTCTCCACAGCTCCAGAAGTGTGTTAGAATTTTCTGTGACCATATCCAGCCAACTCTAAAACCCTCCAACCCTACTTCTACACAGCCTTTAATGCTGTGAGCTGTTTTTTGAGGTGTCCTGCCAAGAAGTGCTTCCCAACCCTTTGCCCTGAGGGAACTGTTTGAGCTATCTCAGATATCCCATCCCACCACACTTTGCATCCATCCAAAACCATGTTTAAGTCCATAATCATGCTCTCGAGCCTCTTGTGGATGAGTAAGCAAACATTTTGGCTGCAGAGCTAGAAGCTCTTGTGCTGCATTTGGTAATGAAGGGCAAGATTCTCCTGGAATCCTTCAGTCTAGCAGGTGCTGGGTTTGGGGGATAAATGGCACCTAGGTCATTTTGGTCTCCATGTGGGCTCACCAACCCAGAGAAGCAAAGCTGCTGGTGGCATAGTGGGGAAGGAAGAAGCATTAATGGCTGGCTTTGGGAGCACACAGGCCAGCCCCAGCTTTGTCCTCCTCCTGTGGAAGAACTGTCGCCTCTGAGAGTAATTCATTTTTAAAACTATTGCATTTAGTTTTGAAAATTATTTGCATTGGATAACTAACCTAAATCATTGAGGATCTGAGAAATGAGCACCTGGTTCAAACATAAAATCTAGTGTAAAGGGTTAATTTGGCTTGGCTTTGATCCTTCGCTGTGATGAATCAACTCCTCGCTCTCCTTGCTGCTGAGACAGACCATAGGAGATGGACCTTGAAAGGATGTCCTTCATCTCCAAAAAGCTGTACTGCTGTTTTAATAGCCTTTCCCTGCAGTCCCTCTGCTTGCAACTTGTTGGGGTCTCACATTAGCACACATAAGCACCACATTTAGCAAACATATTTGCTGCTACAGCAGATGGGAAGAGATTGAGTGAGTGTTATAAAATTAACCTCTGCATCATTCAAAAGAAACAAAAGCAAGAAAGAAATGACAGGGTAATTGGATGCTTATATGAACAGGATATGCTCAAATGACTTCTACATCCCATTACAAATACTTAGAAACTGCACAGCATTTCCACTGCAGTGAGATTTCAAAGTGGTTTAATGGGCGTAAGGAGTTCAGAGCTGATAATGCTGCTTCCAACGTTATCCTTTCACTGCACAGAAATAGGTAGTAGCTATTGACTGGTGGAAATTGACTACTTTTAAAGCTGTATTTACTGACTTAGAGGTGCTAAGAGTTGCAGGGTTTTCAGGGCCTGAATTTAATGTGTGTTGTAAGGAGGGGAAGTATTTAGTTTCTTCAACAGAGGACTGGTTCCAGTGTGTGCTGGGCGTGCAGGAGAGCTGGTATAGGAGCAGGAACCTTCTGCGGTTGTGCTTTAAGTTCTGACCCTAGGAGAACCATTGCTGGTGTGGGGTTGGTACTCAGCCCAACTGGACTTCTCATGTTGTCTTTTCTTTTTCTTTCAGGACAAGCAGTTCATGATGTCAATCAAAAAGGAAGGTGCCCACAGGAAATGGGCTGCCCTGAAGGAGAAACTCGGGCCCCAGGATACTGACCAGTCAGAGGCCAACCTGGAAAATGCAGAGCCAGAGCTGTGCATCCGTCTCCTGCAAATGCCATCAGTGGTGAACTACTCTGGGCTGAAGAAGCGTCTGGAGAGCAGTGACGATGCTTGGATGGTCCAGTTCCTGGAGCTGTGTGGACTGGACCTCCTCCTGGAGGCTTTGGACAGGCTGTCTGGCAGAGGGGTGGCCAGGATTTCTGACGCCTTGCTACAGCTCACCTGCATTAACTGTGTTAGAGCAGTCATGAATTCCCACAGAGGCATTGAATACATTGTGAGCAATGAGGGCTATGTCAGAAAACTCTTCCAAGGTAAGGAGACATCTTCCTGCCACACAGTGTGGGCTTTTTCTGTTGCTTATCCTCTTACCCTGCACCAGGCTTCTTGGAAGTTGTTGATTGCAACTGATTAATGGAGTTAATTTCTCTTAAAAATAGTCTGTTCTGAAATGACATTGCTTTTGCCACTTAATACCATTTAGATGCACTCATTTTTGCAAAGATGTCTTCACAGTTCATGAGAAGCTGGGAATAAGCACTGCCTTGGCTATACATGGTTATGAGAAGTCCAGTGCCCAGCTTCTCAGCAGGTATTTGCTATTAGTCTTTGTGAGGCCCAAGAGCAGAAAGAGAGGTGTTAAAAGAGTTTGGAGACCTGTAGCCTCTAATGAGGAGGAAGAGTGAAAATGTTTAGACTCAAGAGGTTTTTTAGACTCAAGGTTGCCCATAGAGGTGTTGGATGCCCCATCCCTGGAGACATTCAATGTCAGGCTAGATGGGGCTCTGAGCATCTGATTGATCTGTAGGTGTCTTTGTTCACTGCAGGGAGGCTGGACTAGATGGCCTTCAAAGGTCTGTTTCAACTCAAACTATTCTATGTTAATAGAGTCCATTTTCCATGCTGCCCAGTCTTTTCCTTCTAGGAAATGGGATATAACATCATTCGATGTTTCCTGCCATTCATTTGGTAGAAAACTTCTCAGGGCATCTCCTCAAGCTTGCTTGTATAGCACTTCTTGGCAGTGGGGCTGGAATTATAACTTCTCTGTTGCTCCACAGAGCTGAGATCACAGCTGTACCTGGATACCCTTATTAGTAGCTCATTAAAATGCATCTAATCTGAAAGATGGCTTGTTCCTCTCTATAGTTTTCAAGTCCTCTTTTCTTCCACGCTCTATTTTCTTAACCAGTGTGAAATACAGAATTGGCATTATTGTACTGTGAAAGACAATGGGATATCCTGGGCTTCTCAGCAGTCTGGCTTCTTTGTGCACCAATAAACACAAAAATAAGATAACCTAATCCATTCCCTCTCACCTCCAAGGGCTCATAGAGAGAGAGTAATGGAAGAAAAGGGAATGTATGGGGACTGGAGAGAACAAATGGCCTATTTGATATGCATGTTGAGTGATTCTGCACTAAAAATAAGATTCATTAATTGGGGAAAATGGTTCATCTGCTGTTCTAGAAAACATTTGCATGTGAAAATTGGAAATAAAACGCATAACAGCAAGTGCTGAGATCTTGGCTGCTGTTATAGCATTTCCACTGGTACTTGGAAGAGGTGAACAGCTACATGCAGCACCAAAAAGCCAGTGGGGTAACTGAGCTAGTTACTAACTAGAAGTTACTACACATACTGCTATTGGAGTGGAACATCTATAAATAAGGATATTTTTCTTCCTGCATTCCATGTATTGGCTGCACTCTTTCAGGTTTTCTTCTGCCCTATCCACGAGCCTTATAGCAGAAGACACTGAGATTCAGAATTTTGTGCTCTTAAAAATCTTTTTTTCATTTTGTTTTGTTTCATTCTCCTCCAGCACTTGACACAACTAATGTCATGGTGAAAAAACAAGTATTTGAACTCCTGGCTGCACTGTGCATTTACTCATCAGATGGCCATGGTTTGGCTTTGGATGCCCTGGACCATTACAAGGCAAGTTTTGAGCTGCAGGAGGAGAAAAGGGTTTGGAGTGAAGGTCACTTTGCATCATTTTAGATGCATCATTTAGATCATCAGTAAGAGAAGTAGGGATTTACAAAGAAATCTGTAGGAATTTTGGCCTGGTCAGCAGAAGCCCAGAGGCGTTGCTCTGTGATTTGTCTCTGGGCAAAGGACTACCAATAAGAATGTTCTTTCTGCCAGGAAAAGTACCAAGGTAGATGGTGCCACATCCATGGGTTTCACTGGTCACAAGACCTGGTACATAAGTTAGCAGAAAGCAGGAGGAGTTTCACAGATGTCCCCTGCTGACCAGACATTGTTCCATGAGTGCTACTTTTACCTGTATTTTCCTGTATTGTGCTCTGAGGCATAAATTGAGAGTAGTTTTAAGATGGTGTCCCTAATTGAGAGCCTGCACTAAAGAAGTTGTTACTGAACTGTCTAAACAGAAATGTCACTTGTGTCACTAACAGAACGTGAAGAACCAGCAGTATCGATTCAGTGTCATAATGAATGAGCTGTCGAACACAGATAATGTGCCATACATGGTGACACTGCTGAGTGCTATCAATGCCATCATACTTGGGAAAGAAGACCTAAGAACAAGAACACAGATCCGAAATGAGTTCATAGGTAAGGATATTTGTGGGACCTAAGTTTCTCATGGCCAAGCACAGGGCAGTTTTATGACTTTATCTTTATCAGATGTACCTGTAAGGTAATTAAAGAGGGCCTGGGACAAAAACTGCAAATAATACAGCTGGACTCCTGTTTCTGTGTGTGTCTGTGTGTTCTTTATTCTCTTCATCAACATTTCTTTAGCCAGATGTATTTAATGCTCTTCCATACCTTTGATTTTTTTCTACCATCCCACAACCCCCTGATATTCTCAAATGCATTTTTATAACCAGCCATCTTTTGTGGGCACTTTTCATTATATTACAATTCATCACAAAAGGAGATGAAGTTTGGATTCACCTCATATAATGTGCACGTCTGTGCTGGTGAGCCTAGGCTCTGTTTCCTTCTGTGGAGAAAAAAGGAACATTTGATCACACAGTCCATCTGACTTGCTTTAGACATCTACTTTAGAATGAGAAGGCTTGTGCCAATGTCCCTCTGTAATCCCAGAGGGATGATCAGTAGCTCACTCAGCTGCAGATGTGAGCTGCAGGTCTCTTCAGTTGTTGAATGAAGCTACCTACTTTGACAGATCCAGGATAGCTTCATTTTTTGTTTCTACAAAAAGTGTTTATGAGAGTCAAGATCATAGTAGATCAGTATGATCAGTAGATCATAAAGCCAATATGTATACATTTTTTTTTGTTCTCCCAGGTCTTCAGTTGTTGGATATTTTAGACAAGCTAAGGTAAGGATCACTGTTTAAATTTTCTTAAATGAGATTCACAGTAACACAGCTGTGGAAGTTTAATACTTGGCAGTCTTCAGTTGTGTGAGGTATACATGGGTGGAGTGGACCACACAGGTATGCACCCATTACATGGAACTGGAGACATCAGGCCAATGTTAAAGTGCTCTCATCGACCACAGTGTCATGAGAACAGCTGTTGTTGCAGATGCCAATGACAGAGGCTTTGGCACAGATGGAGCACAGATCAGGAATGCCCTTGTTGAGGCATTTCAGACTTAACCTGAAGTGATCTGTTGGCTCACCGAGCAGTTGATGAATACTGTGACACCTTTCTAATGCATATCTGCACGCATCTGACTTCAGGGTTTCATAATTTTAAAATGATGTTCTATCAGGAAAACCCGTGATAAATTTTAGAACATTTTATGTAATTGGAATTGCTCTATCCAAACCCTTAAAAGTTAGCAAGAGAAGGTCTGACATTACTGACAGCAAGCATAAGCAGGGTTCTCCTGCACTGAGACTCTCAAGAGTCCTAGAAAACTTGGCTTTAGAACACTTTTGGTTTTTTGTTCAAGTTTTGAACAGCAGAGAAGGAAGTTTTTTAAAAAGCAATGTTGATGTTGACTATAAGAAAAAAAAAGGTGCCAGCCCAATTTCAGAAAAGGTAGAAATGCCACTCTGTTATTACTTCTCCAAGGAGAAGTACATACAAAGCATACTCTGGGCCAGATTATTCCATGAGTAGTCCCATTGATTTCTATGTGTTGGCTATACAAAGAGGTATATTCAGTTTGAGAAAAGATATGCTGATGGCAATTGATCTTCTATAAATAAGGTAGAGTTGGGCACTTCCAGCATGAACCAGCTGAGTCTGAGAGGCAAAGAACTAAAAGCCATTTAAAGAAAAATAATTATCTGAAAATCAGTGAAGGGCTCTCCAGTGAAAGTGAGTTCTGTAATATTTTAGAGACATAGAGGAGGAGGATCTGCTTATCCAGTGTGATACATTTGAAGAGTTCAAGATTGAAGATGATGAGGAATTATTAAAGATATGTGATGGGATAAACATGAATGATCACCATGAGGTCTTTTCATCTCTCTTCAATAAGGTAAGTAGGCCCTCATGTGGGTTGCAAAGACCTGCAATGGCAAAGTTAACAGACTTTGCTTGCAACCAGTCTGGTACATAGTCTTGGTGTGATGGGAAGCTGCCCTGTTTTCCAGGTGAGCCGCTCCCCAGTCTCCATCCAGCTGCTGTCCATCCTGCAGAGCTTGCTCCACTTGGAACCATCTCATCACTCCAGCCTCCTGCTGTGGGAGTCCTTGGATGCGGTAGTGAACAGAGCCCTTTTGCTCGCCAATGACAGTAAGAATGACATACATCTAGCCTTGTAGTCAGTTCTCTTTTTTCCTCGTCCAACCCAGTGCCCACAAAAGTTGTTCCGTGGGAAGGAAGCAGAGACAAAACTATACCTGCTGTACAGGGTCATGTATTGATGGGAAGCTCCAGCTATACGGGTGCCAGTTTTGTGTTGGGCTCGGGATTCACCATCTTGCTTTGATGGCTAATCCCTGGCATTGTAGTGAGCTCTGGGTCAACGAGAATCTGTTTGCATTGGCATCCTGCCACTGGGGCTGCCTGACTTTGCTGGCAGACATGCTCAAAACAGTGTGTATGAGCCAGTAGCATGAGAAAGAATTTCCCTATTAGATGAAAGTACCACTGGGTAAAATTACTCCAGGCAGTGGGATTTGTAGCTCCAGGTCTGTGGGAGCTGGATAGCATGAACGACTCATTGAGCGTCATCCTCTTCTCTGACCTCGACATGTTTTTCTAGTCCAAGGAAACACAGTTGAAGAAGTAATCGAGAGGCTGTTATCTGTCAAGAAGCATCCAAACGAGCAAAAACGAGCTGAAAAACATCTTTCTGGGAATGCAAATGGAGGCATCCAGACTGAACTAGAACCATGCACGAGTGCAGTTCAGAGCCTGGTGGGATCACCAAACCCCTGCAAGACAACAGAAGCTCCCTCAGGGCCAAAAGCCTGTGAAGAGAAGACCACATCCTCGCAGCTCTCAGCCTGCTTCACCTCACCACAAACTTCTAACCCTCCACCCAACGCTGTTCCTGCCCCTCCACCCCCACCGCCTCCACCCCCACCACCTCCACCCCTGCCCTCTAGCCCAGCAGCCTCCATGAATTCACCACCAGCCCCACCACTCCCTGGCATCCCTCCTCCTCCACCTCCATTACCTGGTATGGCAGTCATCCCTCCTCCACCTCCATTGCCTGGCATGGGGGGCATCCCTCCTCCACCTCCATTGCCTGGCATAGGGGGTATCCCACCTCCACCCCCATTGCCTGGCATGGGGGGAATCCCACCTCCACCTCCATTGCCTGGCTTGGGGGGAATCCCACCTCCACCTCCATTGCCTGGCTTGGGGGGAATCCCTCCTCCACCCCCACTGCCTGGCATGGGGGGCATTCCACCTCCACCCCCACTGCCTGGCATGGGGGGCATTCCACCACCACCCCCACTACCTGGCATGGGGGGCATCCCACCCCCTCCACCACCATTGCCTGGCATGGCAGGAGATCACATAGAAGCTGTTGTAGCCTCCCAGATCAGCTGCCCTCTCAGCTCCATCAGGCCTCCATACAAGGCAGTGAAGACACCAACATTGAGAATGAAGAAGCTAAACTGGCAGAAGCTGCCCTCCAACGTTGTGAGAGGTGGGTGCTTCTAGCATGAAGTCACAACTACTTTATAGGAGGGGAAAAACTGCTATTTGTCAGGTTTAGCTGATACCATTTAGACACAGAACTTTCCTGATTTCCATTACATGCTGAGCTTAAATAAATAGAAGCAGGATGGAATCACTGATATAATAACCATTCCAACTAAATAACTTGGAATAGCTCATTTATAAATGAAATTGTTTGAAATTGAAGAAGGGGGAAGAATGGGAAGATTGCCCTAAGCCACCTTGACATGCCTTGAGTTCTCAACAGACTCTAAGTATATAAAAGTCATATGTAACAGTACGGATCAGAATCAGCTCATAGATCAGGAAGGACATTGAAATAATTGGTGAGACATGAGAAGTATTGAATTGTTTCTTGATTTTTGGGTCACATTTCCCTCTCCTAGCGGATCCAAAAATGGAACATGAAATATGAGAAGAAGCAAGGACAAACGAGGTCGGTTTTACCCCAAACAAGCAAGGCATAGTTGAAGTCTAAATAAAGCATGTTTTAACCCATGGGACATTTAATTGTTGGGATTATTTCAGTAGAGCTTTCTGCATCATGTTTAGGTGATGTTTTTTGTTTTTTAATGAAAAGAAGACGTTTAAGAAAGTGCAGTGGAGATTAATTCAATGCTTAAGAGAATGCAATAGGGATTTATTTAAGCAGTCCTATTGCCAGCATAACACAAGGAGACTTGATTACAAAATCAAAAATATGTCTCTTCTTATTTAATTCACCTTCTGAGGAATTTCCCTTCTAGCAACTCAGACTACCCAAAAAACTGGGAGCTTTCAGCTCTGCAGCCACTCTTAATCCCTTGTCTTTTTTTCAGAAAGTCATTCAATGTGGGCTTCAGTGAGCAGCAGCAGCGAGGAAACCATAGAGCCTAATTACACAAGCATAGAGCAGCTGTTTTGCTTTCCACAACCAACCCCTAAGGAGAAAACAGCCGCACCAGTGAAGGCAGAGCCAAAGGAGGTGAGGGGGCCAATCTCATTCTTTCGAGTAAAGATTGCTTGCAGACAGCTCATCTAATAAGTGATATCTTCTTTTTCTTTGATGAAGATCACATTTTTGGACTCCAAGAAAAGTCTCAATTTGAACATATTTTTGAAGCAATTTAAATGGTAAGATATAGCTGATTTTCATGACAGTTGACAAAACTTTGAGTAGGTTGTGCATAGTGCCTGTAAGGTCCTCAAGAAATCTATTCTTGCCAATGTTCTTTTTGTAGTCTGTGTTGCTGTAAAATCTGATTACTTCACAGCTTGTCAAATACTCTCTCTAAAATATTGGGCTTGGGTATTTAACTGTTTTTTCATGAAGTGTTACAACTCCATGTTACAGATAGAGTTACAGCACAGACTCTTAGGGTGGCTTTGGCTGTGAATGCCCCTGGAAGTGAAACTCTTCCTCAAAGCAGGACCAAAAAGGAAGATAAGAATTCATTTATTTTAAGGCAGTCACATACCCAGAGACAGACAACTGAGTTGGAACATTGATCCTTAGTCTTAAGTCATTTGACCGGGGCCAGAAGCAAATTCTGTGCATAGCAAGTACTTGAATCTGAGTTAATCACTGGGATGTATCTTTCCTTTCCTATCTCTGTGACCCTCACTAGGGAAAACACAGAACGCTTGTGCAAGTACATCTCTCAGTAGGATGTGGTTGTGAAAGGGGGACCTTTGGGTGATTGCTACCTGTGCTTCTCTCTGCAGCTCCAATGAAGAGGTGGCTGCCATGGTCCAGAATGGAGATCGGACCAAGTTTGACGTTGAGGTTCTAAAGCAGCTGCTGAAGCTGCTGCCTGAAAAACATGAGGTCAGGAGAGAAAAATTGTGTCTTGATTCACAGAGCTGAATGTGCAGTGAAGTCTTGCAGTTTTAATTCTTTATTTTTCATTAGATAGAAAACCTGAAGGCCTTCAAAGAAGATAAGTCGAAGCTAGCAAACGCAGATCAGTTTTATCTTCTCCTCCTTCAGATTCCCAGGTAAGGATGCTCATCGTGAACATCAGCCCAATCTTTTCTTGGGTTTATCTATGGGAAGTTCAAGTTTCTATATTAGTCTCACAGATAAATACCAACAGATACAGTTGGTCAGTCTCCAATTCCATCTTAGCCATCCCTTCCCCTTTTTCTTGCATGAAAGGGTGTCACTTCTGCAGCACCTCTTCTCCTTCTGAAGTATATAATTAAAGGATCATAAAAGATGGAAAAGACCACTAAGACTACCTAGTCCAACCCCAACCCATCCCCTCCGTGCCCCTCAGTGCCACATCTCCAAGCTTCTTGTGGACTTCCAGGAATGGTGACTCCACCACCTACCTGGGAAGCCTGTTCTAATGCGCAACCACTCCTACTCAGAAGAATTTTTCCTAATATTCATGCTGAAAGTAGAAGAAGCTGGACCAGACCCAGGGTCAGACCTGTCCAAGGAGGCCATGTAACCTACTGAAAGTCACTTGGGAAGCCAAATACAGTGCCAAGAAGGGGGAAGCCATATCTTAGACCACTGTCAGCCTTCTCTTTGTTGATCACAGTGCACCTGCAGAAACTATATCCCCATGTGGCTAAGGATTGGTCCCTGCTAAAGTAGTAGCCCTCCACAAGCACTTGTCTGATATGGATATGGGAGGCAGCAATGTTGTGGGGTTGCCAGCCTTAGAGGTGATGTGGGAAGAGAGCTGATGTGTTGGCCAAGATTGTGATGCCTTTAAGCTTTTAATCAATCTCCATCCTTAGCTATCAGCTACGGATTGAATGTATGCTGATCTGTGAAGAGACTACTGTTGTTCTGGACATGATTCAGCCAAAAGCTGAAGCCATCCGGAAAGCCTGCGAAGGTAAACACCTGACCTTAATTCTGGATCTTGTTTAAGACAGTCAGCTGAAAAGCCCCAATAAACCTTCTAGAGCTCTGCAGTGAGTCTCCCCAGCACCACAGCTTTCCTGCAGCCTCTTCACTGGTTTGCTGCAGAGTACAGGATGCAGCTCTGGGTATCTCTGATGATTATCAAAGCTTTTAATATGACTGGAGACCATTTTCCCTCAGCCTCAGACCTCTTTTTCTGCAGCAGCTTTGTTCTTCTGAACCACTTTCAACAATGAAGTGTTGGAAGCTTGTCAGAATTTCCAAAACAGTTGAATCTAGAGCTAATTCATTACATTAAGATCTTCACACAGCAATTTTCTCTGCTTCCAGAAAAGCATACCCAAGCTTCCCCCAGAAAGCAGTGATACTTTAGTTTTTTCCCTGCCTACAAAAGTAATCAGAAGAGAGTTTGTTATTTTGGGCTTTGAATTGCTGATGGTCAAGTTTGTGAATACAGAGAGAAATTATGCAATAGGTCTTTTTTTTTTTCTGTGGCAGAAATCTCAGGTCTCACTGCTGAAAGCACTTCTTGTCAGTGCTGCTTGTCTTAAAGAGCTCCTGCTCTAGGCTTCTCCGGCTGAAATTACAGCTGCCTGCTGGGATAAAGGTCCCCTCCAAAATTCCCTGCAGCCAACTTTTCCTTTTAAATCTGTTCCTGCCTCAAAACTGAGTGCTTCAGAAAGCACATCTCTGCAGCACCTTGTTGTAAGGGCAAGGACAGGGACTGTACCCTTCATGCCTGAGAAGCACCTTCACCATGCGAGACCAGGAAAAGATGGAGTGTGTCTGGTTTTAGCAGCTGGCAGGTAGTTAGAGCACTGTCAGAACTGGCTTTGCTGCACAGCTGAATGGAGTCTGCAGGATTAAAGCTGGAGCCCTCCTACCCTTCCCCACGGCAGTTTAAATCTGGGCACTTCCAATTGATCAGAGTCCAGCTCCACATCGTTTTCCATTAGGAATGAGAGACCAGATGTGAATAAAGAAACACAAGTGAGCAGAAACTTCATTAAGGCCAGCTACTGGGATTGAGTCTACTTACAATCAGTTAGAATCAGTTTCTCTGCAGGTTGGGCCATTGGGCTGCAAACCTGAAAAATCAAATTTGGTTTGCTGGAATTCAGAATCCCACTTTTTATCCAGTTTAGAAAGTGTTCTGGTTTATCTGAGGCTTTTGCTTAAAAGCCCTTTATATTTTTCAGATCTTCTGACCAGTCACCGTCTGCCGCTCTTTTGTAAACTGATTCTCAAAGTTGGAAACTTTCTGAACTACGTAAGGACTTTGTTTGCTTGTCCTCCACCTATGAACAGAATATGTGTATGATCTTCACATCTAAGGCTGTAATTTGGACACAAGATTACATTTGTCTTTTTTTTTTTTTTTATCTTGTAGGGAAGTCACACAGGCGATGCTGATGGGTTTAAAATCAGCACTTTACTCAAACTAACAGAAACCAAAGCAAACCAAACCCGCATTACGCTGCTCCACCATATCCTGGAGGTACTACAGTCCTGGGCAGAAAGGAAAGGGAGGCTTTTTACCTTAGTGAACCATCCCTCCTACTCTAGATTCAGTTAATGTAATGCACACTTATTCATTATCCTCCCCATTTAGCCGCAATTAAAAGCATTGGCTCTCTTAGGCTGGTTGTGAATGCTTGTGGGCACTACTCGGCTCTCAGGCAACTCCTTTTAGTTTTGTCCTGCTTTCCTCCAGCATCTTTCCCTGCAGTTGCTGGAACTTCCTTTGTTCATGTCTGCACAATCTCTGCTCATCATCAGCTGCAAGCCACGGAGCTTGTGGCCACCAAAGCCACCCTGGCAGCTCTGTACCCATTCATCCTTTCTGCCTTTTCATGGCCATTCTCTTCTTCATCAGGCTGTGTTCGAGCTTTTCAAACTTCACACTAAGTCCCCATGACCTTATTATTCCATGCATTACTGTTTGCTGTTTCTTTTTTTCCATATTCTGCTCTGCCACTCTCATTCATCAGTTACACATGGTTAAGCTCTGCAGAAAGGAGGCCAGATGAGGGGCATAGTGCAGTTGTCCTTCTGAGTGCTGCCTCCTCTCCCAGCTTGCACCACTCAGTAAACAGTGCTTATTTCTCTTTTCTGCTTCAGGAAGTAGAAAACAGCCACACAGACCTACTGGAACTGCCGGAGGACCTTGAATATGTTTCAAAAGCAGCAGGGTAAGATTGCGTGTCACTTCCTTCAAATGAAAAACAAAAATAAATCCCATGCATGCATCAGAAATTACAATACCCACAGCTGGTACAGCATGTTAACAAGATGCCATTTTACTTATCTTTAACCAAAAGGTTTGTTGATGAGTGCTTACACCTATTTAATATGTTCTTCTACAGCTAGTACTACTGAGGTCTGACATTTGCAGAGCATTTATTTAATACTGCCTTATGGGCCATTCCCCAATCTGCACTGCATTTGCAGTAGCAAGAGCTTCTGAAGTGTCCTTGACCAGGGAAACTGAGCAAATGCTGAGCAATGAGGGTGGAGATAACCCTGGGTGGACTTTCTGGGTGCTCATCTACTCTATGCATGATGTTGCAGTGGGACTGAGCATCTTTCCGTAAGTGCTGAACTTTTTCATGAGTTCAGACTGTACAGGGTTGAGGGCTCAAGCTCACATGGGAAACAGAGGGACAACCAAACCAGCTAGCCCTGCCCTCTCTTTTGTAAGTGCATGATACTGTAATGAGAACTAACACAGGACATCTGTGTGATTTCAGAATTAATCTTGATATTATACGCTCAGAGTCCAGTGCCAATTTTAAAAAGCTGCTGGAGCTCCAGCGAAAGGTCTCATCAGCAAATGACGACGTGAAACAGCAGTATGAGAAACCTATCCAGGTCAGTCTTGGAATTCCCTTATAGCTTCTACCTTACACACACAAAGCCAGCATGCTGCATGTAGCTGAGGATGCTCACAAGAGGGTGAAAAATATTGCCACAAGATGCACTCTCAGATTTGGAAACAGGCTGTAATGCCACAGAACTCAGTGGTGTTTGCTTGCCCTTTGGTGAGGCTTTCTTAAAGGCTTGCTTCAATGGCTCTCCCTATTCTGCCTCTCCTCACTATGTCTGAGTCAATGTGTTCACCCTCTGTGCAGGTTGCCAAAGTAAATCCCTTCTCTTGGGATGAAACTTTGCATTGAGCTTTCTGTGTGTTGCTAAAGTCACCCCTGCACAGTGGCACAACGCAGTCACCAGAGCCATGTGCTGTTTCTTCCCACCCCAAAAGCTCTGCTCCAAGTTCTTATGTTGGCATCCTTTTTCTTTATGTACACTTCACTTGTTATCTTCTGGATGGTGTCGCACTGTCCATACTAAATGCATTTCAGGATAGCATTGATGCCTCTAGAAAACTGGAAGAAGATTTTGAAACCATTGACAGGAAGAGAGAAGAACTTGCAAACTATCTCTGTGAGGACCCAAGCAAGTTGTCCTTAGAGGATGTATTTAGCACCATGAAGACTTTCAGAGATCTCTTCATCCGAGCCCTAAAGGTTAGTGATTGCACACAAAGATGAACACATCATAGTGCTTCGTATTTCTACTCCAACAGAGCTGGGTGGGGCAGGAGTCGGGAAGACAGGCTGCTGGTTATGGACCCCTTCTCATAGTACTTGGCTTGAGGTCACCTGGTGAATGGGTATCTGGTCCCTGCTCCATTTCATCCTCATGTACTGCCATTGCTCCTGGCCTGACCCAGACCCTAGTGACTTAGGATTTCAGTGCAAATTCAGCTGCATATTCACAGAGATGCTTTCATAGACTCATGGAATATCCCAAGTTGGAAGGAACCCGTAAGGATCATCGAGTCCAATTCCTTCAGAGCTGAATGCATAAATTTTAGAAGAACAGAATTATGAAACTTAATTCTTCACTTCAGTTTGAGCAAATACGATCAGAAGGGAGATGTACAATCAAAAGGCCACTAGTTTGAAAGAAATTGCAGCTTCAGTACCTTCCACGTTTGCCTCAGATGACTGTCAGTGAGAGAAGCTGCGCATGGGTAGCTGTGTTAAGCAAATGAGTGCTGCCACTATGTACTGAGACTGGGCAAAGTCCTGCACTAACCAGCAGTGTCCCTTTCACTCTCTTGGCAAAACAGTCCTCAGAATAAATAAAATGAGCATAGTGAGGATTTCTCTTCTGTCTTTGCAACCATCTGCATATTGTCTTTCTCTTCAATCGTTCTCCTAGCGGATATTTAGCCAACCTTTTCATGCCCCTGTTACTTGCAGGAAAACAAAGACAGAAAGGAACAAGCTGCAAAAGCAGAGAAGAGGAAGAAACAGCTGGAAGAAGAAGAGGGGAAGAGACAGAAGGGAGAAAATGGAAAAGTCAGTGAGTATCTGAAACAGCATCAAAAAAGAAATGGGAGACTTGCAATCCCCAAAAAGACTGGAAGAGCTGATGAAAGCTCTTTGCTGGTCCTGCTTTAATGACCAGTAGAGGTAATTTATTCTCTGAATTTCCAAGTGCTGACTGACTAAAGGCTTTTAGGTATCTTATTGGCCATAGATAGAAATTGACTTTTCACAGTGGCACCTGGGCAGAGAAGTTAATTTTATTTTTGCTGACAGAGCAGGAGAGAGACAAAAATAAAACTGAAACATTTCAGTTATTTCAAATATTTCAATTTCTAAACAAACTTTTTGAATCCTAAATCGAACAGCAGACATTTGACTTTCCCCTAAAAAGTCTCTTCCTACTCTTGAATAGTCTCCCCCCAGTTTACCACAGGCTGCAGACATCTCAAAAGTCTTGCAGATGCCCTGTTTGTATCAGGGAAGCAGTACCAACCCCAAGTGATAGCACTGCTGTGCAGTCTGCATCCTTCCTCTCTCAGGAGCACATTTACCACCTGTCTCTCTCTATCCCAGTTAAGAAGGGGTTGGTGAAGCAGGAGGATGTTTGCGTCATTGATGCACTGCTGGCTGACATAAGGAAAGGGTTCACACTGAGAAAGACGAAGAACAGACACGAGTCAGATGCAGTTCCTAAAACCTTGCCTGCGGAGATCCCAGAGGAGAGCCGGTCTGGTAAGGACACATACCCAACTGTACCTGCAGCTATTTTTTCCCATCTGTCTCTGAGTCTGAGCCAAGCACGCAAGCAAGTAGCCTTCCAGCGTTTGGGGCATCCTATTGAAGGAGGATCTGCAGCAGAGCTGTGGACAGGAGCAAATAGCCCTGAGCTGCTGACAGCCAGGTGTGCCTCAGACCATCAGCATGGCCTCGTGCCCACACTGATGAACTGTCTGAGAGTCACAGCCCATGGCTCAGCCACAGGACTCTTCTGGTGGGGCACTAATGTCATCTCCACCTGTCCCCCCATGCAATCAAATCTCACTAGCATAGCTTATCTTCGTCTTGTAGTCTGCTGTACCCTCTGACTACATTTGGGAGTCTAAAGCAGCACTTAAAATAGGACTAGAAAGCCCTATCTGCAGAAGGACCCTATTCACCCAGGTGTTTTTTTAGGAGATAGCCTATGGTTTTAGCCTTTTTTTTTGGCTCGTGACCTGAATACCAACGCACATTTACAGTCCAAGGGCACTGGTGTGTGGTAAAGCCTGACTTTGTGGCTTTAGAAGGGCCAGCAGGAAATTTTTAAGTGCTTGTGCCAACCGAGTCATTCCCAGCTGCTTCAGGACCTCTTCTTGAGATAGGTTTTCAGATACCCTTTGTAAGTCCAAAGACTTTCATGGGCATCAACCAGAGCACCTGCTGAAAACATGCCATGATCATGCTTTGCTGATCTAGAGCCTTGGAGTCCCATTGGAGTGACCACATGGGGCACTGGGAAAGGAGGTGGGAATGCTAATGAAGATGTTCTTCCTTAGCTATAGGATGAAAGCATGCTGCCTATATAGAATCACAGGATCATTAACGTTGGAAAAGACCACTCAAATAATCTAGTTCAATCACCACATAATCAACCCATCACCATGGCTGCTTTAGGGGTAGTGCAACCACTGTAGGCAGCAGGAAGCTCGTAGCCTCTCCGAATACCAGAAACACCATAGTTGATCTTGGATGCAACTTTGCATATATGGCTGATCTCATGCTTTTTGTTTGAAGGAAAGAGCATTAAGGATCCGCAAGCAGGAGGACAGCAGATGGATGATAAAGCCAAGCAAAACAACGGTCATCCTTCAGAAAGCACTCTGTCCTTGGCCGCTGCCCTACCAGAGATGGGTAGAGATGTTGGAGATGTCTCAGCTCCAAACCAGGCATTACCTGAAAATAATGCTGAAGGAAATTTGCCGCCAGGGTCTAGGACAGAAGGCCCTTTGGTAAACTTAGTGGAAGCTGATGGAGATGGGCAGGGTGCTGGGATGGCAAGCCTCCAGCCAGGCCTGGGTAGCGGTGCCATTTCCTTCTCTGCTACTAACATAGGTGCCAATATAACATTTGTCAGCAGCAGCTCTGGTGCTGCTCTAAAAGAGCAGCTCAATGGGTCCATCTCTGAAGAGCAGGACAACAAATGCAGCTTGGAGAGCTGCAGGCCAGCTCAGGACATCCAGCTGAGCCAGAATGGAGGCAATCCCAGCACTCCATCCATTCCCTGTGATGGTGCACATCAGGCTGAGTTGAAAGAGATGGCAAAGGAAAACGAAGACCCTGGTACAGACTCACTGTTGGACACTTCCCAAGAGAAATCCTTTTCAGAGGAGCCAGCCACCGACTCTTCTTGTTCGGCAACACTGCCTCCAGGGGAAACACACACTGACAGGGAAAAGCAGAGGACATCTGGGAAACGGAGAAAGAAGAAGAGGCACAGCAAAAGCTACTCAGGTAGCCTATATAGCCCTCGGGCACTGAGTTAAATGGGGGGGGGGGGACGACCTTCTAGTACATTTGTAGGCATTCTTTCCTCCCAGGTCCAAGGTCTGGTGCTATCCCTAGAAAGCCCTTTGTCCCTGTGTTTAATGGAGCTATTATTTTTCTAACCTGAAAAAGATGTAAAAAAGAAAAACATAAGCATCATTCATTCTTCTGACATTTACAAGTAGTTTATAAATGGGTAAAGATGAATAAATAATTAAAAGCCCATTATGCATAGTAAAGATGGCAATAAGCACATCTGTCAAGCATGCTAAAGACAGCTATGAGGCACAGTTATGTGCAAACAAGAGCTCCATTAGACTCCAGAGCTGTGATTAAGAGCAGTTAATAGTGGATACTTAATCAGCAATCACCCCTTTCAAATACTTATAAATGCATAAGCAGCACTTAAAGATACAATATGCTGTCCAAAGCTTGTTTTTTGTGGTCAAGCAGATGAGCAGGAAAGTAGTGGAGAGATCTCCTTATTAGTGTTGATGTTTTTACTGTCAAGGAAGGCAGAGCAGAAAGTAAAGGAGAATTTGAATACTCACTACAGAGAGAGATAGCATGGGCTGACCATCTACCATGGAGAAACTTACTTTCGTAGTCCCAGCATAGCCTGGGGCTTTAAGTATTTATGTTTCAAACATGCACCTTCCCTTAGCTAAAACCAAGGCACGAAACAGAGGTGTTTGCCCAGAACAGTGGTTCCCAAACTTGCCTTCCTGGTAGAGCTGCAACAAAGACAGCTCCCAGCCATCACCATGCTTCCCTTGTATCTGTAATGAACCCCACAACACCCATAGAGTTCCCTGATCATCCAGTGGTGGCATCCTAGGAACCTCTCTACTGCTGAACAGTGTTTTCATTGTAAGAAGTTCCCTGTTGTTACATTTACCTTGCCATGATCAGATATATTTAGTGTGTCTCTTTTGTTTAAAAGCAGAGGTTGAGACTGATTCTGGAGATTATAAAACAAAAAAAGGTTGTGTGGTACAATGAGGTATGTAAACTTGCAAAGGCATTTGTATGTGAACTAACCTCAGTTCCTTCGGGACTTTACAGACCTAATCAATATTTAGCATATCAGCTAAGCTTTTTGTCTTTTGTCTAATCACAAATACATTTAAAACAAATTTGCTACTCTGATTTTCACTGACTAGGGTGTTGATCTTGTGCTGAGTGGAGTCAGTGCTGATCTCCCCACAACACTGGGTCACATCCCACATGTCCGTCCTCTGTGTCAGCAGCAGCCAATCGCCTTTCCCTGCAGATAATTAAAAGACAGTATTCTAACCACGTGAATCCAGCTTCATGTGATAAACAAAGTCCTTGCTTTGATCCCATTGTTTTTCTCAAAAAAATGTAAAAATGCAATTTCAGTACCTACCTCCTGCAAATAACGATGTTTGGTTTGCTTGTGGGTAGCCACTTACTATAGCACCATATACATACAGGCATCTGGATAAGGAAGTAAAACACTGGGCCCAGGGAGAAATACATGCTGGGACAAGATGCCAGCTCCAACTCAAAGCCAAGTTCAATTTCTCAAGATACTGCACACAAGCAGTGCATTGGAGCAAACAGACCATCCACGCTTCTCCTCTGCACTCATGCATCTTTATGGGACAAGGTAGAGGAGGGGATTTGGCTTTTGTCACTGAAAAAAATAACACGCAGGGATCTTGGTACATACAAGTTCCCTCCAATGGGCAGTCTACTTGCCCACTGTGAGAAAACTTCAGGAGCTTCAGGCCAAAACTTTCATAAATAAAAGCTTGCACGACTATTGCAAATGCAAAGAAAAGCAGCAGGAAAAATAAACAATCAAAACATCCACTGTACTGAAATTGCATAGTTACTTGTCCTTTCCATCCTGATGAGCACCTCTTGTGAATTGAATCAATGATGCCAAATCTCTCACTCTCTCATTTCCTGAAAGGAATGTGTTTATTCTTCAGCATCCCCTGTGCATAGGGGGGCAGGAACCCCTAGCCCTGAGGGCATGGAGCAGAGGAAGCTCTGCAGGATTCCCACGTAGGGTTGCTTTTGTTTCTGCACCTGAAGCATCACTGCTAGCAAGAGAAAATAAGAGATATTGGGTAGTTATGCTCCTGACTACTGCTGTCCTCTCCTCTTGGCCCTTCTGTACCATGCTTCATGATTATGCTGAGAGCAAAAGGGGAGTAGTAATGTCAGTTTAAAAATCCTAATGAAGATTTACAGCAAGAGCAGAAAAGAGTAGAAAAGAGTAGAAAATAGTAGCAGAGAAGACTTGTGATTATGCTGCACATGGAGGGCAGCTGGAACCAAGAATTGTGTAACTCAAATTATATGTTTTAAGCACAAGGATTCTTGCATGCAGGTTTGAAAAAAAGGTTAATTTTAACAAACGGAGATGCAGACAGCTTCAAATTCTCCTCTGAAGACATAGGAAAGTAATGTAGAGGAATGCATGGAAAACCAGTACCACTAGGGAGTGACTGAGTCAGGCACATCCTTGAGATGCCACCAGCACCCACAAGTGCTCACAGCTGCAAGGGCAGTGGAAAAGCAGCACTTGAAATCTTCAGCTCCCCTTTTCCCCTCATTCCTGTGTCATTTGGGAAAGTCATAGCAAACAAAATCTGTTTGCTTTTCGTAGTCTGTAGCCATGGTGTTTCCTCCCCTAAATGCAACTCAAGCCTATTCCTCTTAACAGCCTTAGCAAACCTGAAGTGCTCCCCATCGCAAAAATGGGAGACCCCAGGAAAAGAAGTTCAGTACTTTTTTCCAGGGTGATTCACCTGACTTATAACCCTATCTTTTTTTCTTCAGAGACCACCTTTAAGTTCTTGTCACACTCCTGGTACTCTCTGGCTGGAGCTAGAATTTGCCAGGTTGAAGTGAAGCTGTAGGAATTTTCTTTCTTATACAAATGCACTTGTAGTGATAAAGGCTACACCTCCTTATTCCCCACACCCCAAAATCCTTTAGAGTCTCTATAAAAGCAACAGAGAAAGAACAGGATCTGACCCACAGGAACAGCCTGTGATTCTGTGAAATAATATTTCAGAGCTGTATAAGGACTTAGGTAATCAGCTATTCAGTTCTCTCCTTTTGACATAACTTGTTATGTAGCAGTTTCTGTATTAACATCATTATTCTTTTATACCCAAAGAGTGGTCTCTCATGTTATCTCCAATATACTGGGGGTCACCTTGTGTTTTCGTGTGTCCTGGCAACAGCTAAACAAATTTCCAAACAAATTTTAAAAAGCTTGAAGAAGGAATGTTTTACAAAAACTGACAGTTAGAGGGCACTGTATGAAGGATTGGACACACGAGGAGGTGCTTGAGTTCCCTTGTATTAAGCCCTACGGAATCTCTCCAGACAAATGTTCATGTCTGTAGCACAGTACAGGAGGTCTCCAGTCCAACAAGTCCCCCAGTAAGAATGGCAACAGCACAACATCTGCGAGCAGCCAGATTCCCTCCTTGGTACTGAGAAAGTTTTCCCTCATACAAACTCCCTGTAAGAAGAGGTTCAGTCAGAGTCAAACAGAAACACAACTCAACTTGAAAGCACAAAAGTTCATAAGCAACCAGACTCTGGCAGTTCTGCTCACAAACCTACTTGATTTGTTTGGTAGAAAATAAAGGATAAACCAAACAGCAAGCATAGGCCAAGTGTTCTTGCAGCCTGGTGAGGCTCAGAGGGAAAAGGCAAAAGCAAAAGTCCACAGTTTGCCAGCAGCTATGACACATATGTGGGCACAATGGGAGTTCAGCCTATCTCACAAAGGAACAAAGTTTTGGAATCAAGGTTTTCCTTTGTTGTTTTTTTTTTTTTTTTAACTTAATTAATGTTTTAATTTTAGACAACTAGATGCTTCACCTCACCCCCTGCAGACTCGGTGTCTGTGGGCTGATTTCTAAAGAACCAAAGCAATGCGATCAAGCTAATGGCTGTCTTCCTGTGCAGCCTTTGCCATCATGTCTGTCATTAGAAATGGTATTTCCTTCAGCTGTTGAGTGGGACTGGTGTTTAAAATTGACAACAGACAGTTCTTTCCTTCTGACATCCCTAACTCCCTCAAGAAACACTCCCAGATGGGAGCCTACCCCTGGGTCAGGCAGTGAAGGCACAATACACGCATTTTGCTCTGTCACGCTGTGACAGAAAGTTTGTTTGTGCCCTCTGAAGTCCCACGCTCATGGCTGTGACCCAGCTCTGTTCCCCAGTAGCACTTCTCACACAAGGTGGGAAGATGTTCTTCAGCTGCATGAAGTGCCACACACAGGCTTCATTTGACACCAGCTGATAGTGACACTCGGGCCTAAAGCACCAGCTGAAATGTCCCCTGGACAAAACAAAATGGGTGTCCAGATTTATTAATTCAGCAATTTAACATGTAGAGCCATATACCAACATTCTGCTTGGAAAACACAAGATTCACATTGTTGCCCAGCTCAAGAACAGAGCTGCCCAAACTCTTCAACATCATTATCAGTCCTAGAAACATGAGCAAGGTTGTTAGCAAATATATAAAAACTGGCAGTGCTAGAAGTTTAAGTTACCTGAGTTAGAACCACAGCCAATACACACAACAAACCAGACCACTCTCACTTCAGAGCTGTGAACAGTTTGTATTTTCCCCACCTCCTGCAGGCATTACAGCAAGGCAGAAGAAATAACGGAGGCCCGGAGACATGCTAACTCATCCCCAGAGCACTGCCAGCCTCTCGGAAGCCAGGCTCTGCATCACCAGAAGGCCTCCTGCCCTGACTGGACATCACACTCCTCCTGATGCAGCCTTCCACCCTTTGCCCAAAGGCCCAATGAGCCACCATGGAGGCTTCAGCACCCTCAGCCCGTGCCTTATGTGACCTGCGTTGTGCCCCAAGGGTGTCTGTGTGGTCATGGTCCAGATTGATGCAGCAGCAGGGAAGGCACAGGCCTCTAAGCCTCCATCCTAATGCCCAACGTCCCTTCCTGCTCTTAGGCCAAACTTCTCTTAACACAATGGCAAAACATGGCCCAGCATTCAACCCTCGGGAAATTTTAAAAATAGCAGTGCCTCAAATAAATTGAGGGTATGAATCCAGCAGTGGCTGTACCCTCGCAGGGGGAAGTGTTATCCCTCATTTTATCACCCGCACTCAGTTCATATTTGGCCAGGACCAAGACCTAAAATGTATTTGTGTTCTCTATCATTGAAAGCAAGCAAAATCAATTACAAGAACAACAACAAAAGTATGCATTTTGGTCAACATATGGCTGTGTAAACAGCATCTGGCTCCCAGGTAACGCTTATGTGCAATTAAGTTGAAGCATGGCTGTGGTCCTGCAGTAATCTCACACGCACAGCTACATACATAAAATTTGGTGAAGTAGGGCCCCAGTTCCTGCAAAAGAAAAAAGTTTTCCAGGGTACTGTGTTAAACACATTTTCAGCTCATCCTTTAGTAAGTCTCCGGGTTTAAATCCCATTCTCAGCTGCTTGCACTCTTTAGTCTTTGCATTCAAGCTGCAGAACGTGTATTTTCACATTACTTTTGCTTTGAAACTGGGAACGTGCAGTATTGTGTTTTTAAAGATTCAGAGCTTTATTTCTCAAGTTTTGTAATAATGTTGTACCATAGTTTTGTACATAGCTGTCAATTTAAAATGATCTATGCTTGTTGAATCTGTGGTGTGATACTGTGCTGAAACAGGAATCAAGCAGAAGAGATTATTATATTTAAGAACTACGCCTTTATATGGTAACCTGCTCTGTCTAGACTAATGTTCAGGATAAACCTTATTTTGCTTTGCTCAATAGGAATAATAACATCCTCACAATGTTGAAGACTTTGCTGGACTGAGGTAAAGGTTATGCCAAGAATTAAATCAATGGTTTATTTTAACCAAAGCATTGTTACTGAGAATTGTTAACAAAAGCAAAGATGTGTTTGGAGTAGGTGCATGGACAGACTCAGCTCAGGAAGCCTTGCAGAGCAGCACAACTGTGTTGCAGCTGAATTCACGTTCCTGGCTGGCAGAAGCAAGCTGCAAAACCAAATAACCCACCCCAGGTTTGACGTGCGAGACCACTGTGTCACATTGAAAATGTTTTCTCCTTTTTTCTCCTCTATTCCAGTCTCTGAGTGTATCACCCAAGAATCAGTTCTTCTTGCAGTCATTAATCAAGTTTCTCTGTTCTCAGATTAGACTCCAGCCTACAAAAGTCCAATTAGAAAACATTTTCCCAGCAGCTTTGCCTCCTCTGTGTTGCCAGCAGGAGCCTGCAGCCCAGATTCACAGTGAGCAGCCAGCCTCCTCCAGCCCACCCTGCTGATTTATCGATAGGAATGAAATTGCTGTCAGTATTTGGGAACAAGCAAGGCTTTTTGGTGTTACCTGCCGAGGGCCTTCAAAGAGAGGGCATTTGGCATTATATTCCCAATGCCTTCAAGAGTTTATGGAGAAACTGGTATTTTGAGCCACTGCTGGTTCTTTGTTCTGCAGCCATTTTTGAAAACTATAATAAATTGTCTGTTAAAATCAAATCCCAATCAACAGATCAAAGCACAGTATTTATAATGTATTACTCCAAAGCAGCTCTGCTTCCATTACTGCGATTATTTAGCAAGAACAGGGGGATGGAGTCAGCAACTCAAAGAAAGATGCTCAACTGGGATGTGCAGTTTTGCTCTATTTGTCACTTTAGAAGTTCATTTTTCAGTGTTTGTAAGACCAAATCAGTTGTTGGTAAAAACAATGAAATTTGCAGCTATTTTAACAGGTATGCATTCATTTAAGCCAACAGTGAGTTTAAACCTCAGAAGAGAATTCCTGTGGTTATATTACAGCAAATGCACATGGAGTCGATTATGTAAACCAGCCTGTGAACACCACAAGTTCCTAGCCGTCAAATAACTGCATATTCCTCAAATAAGCATTGTCTATATGATAAAAATGAAGTTGTGGATGAAATCTGCATAAGTTTTTTCCAAGTACTTCGCATCAAAATGTGGATATGTTTTAAAGGCTGGAATTGGAATTTCAGGGCTTTTTTGTTTTGTTTTAATTTCATTACTGAAAATATTTCAAAATTTAAAATAAAAGAAGTCAAAGTACCTGACAAGTCTCTTTATTTTATGGAAATTGTTATTCACCAGAATTTTTCATGCCTACAAGTTTTGATATACAAGCTTACCATGTATACAAACTTATTGGTTTTTAATATAACCAGCACTGTACCAATCCTAGCTCACTCAGTCTATAAATACGGCAGCAGCAACTATACCAAAATATGAGGTAGCAAGGTAGTCACAGAACTCTATTCACCTAATTCTACTGAAAGCAAATACAGTCATGAACTAACTCCATCACGAACCACCATTTTGTTCAGTCACCTCACAATCACACTGTAGGCAGGATATGAAAAACAGCTTTGCCACATCTAGAAACTTGATTACAGAATATTTAAAATTGGGCAGCAATAGTGACAGGACCTCCCTGAGTCTCTTATTAGTGGTTATTCTATGTAGGGACAATCTTGCAGGATTTGCAATGGCAGTGTGGATCTTGTTGTAAAGAAAAAGGGTTCCACCTATTTAGTGTAGAGCATATGTCATACCAGATTCTCCACAGATCACTGCAAGTTCATCAGCATTTTCAGCACTAAGCAAGTCACTCTTTCATCCATGCTGATCTAGCACTTAATTTGTATTAGAGACTCTTTGCTGCGGGATGTACAGTTCTGCAAGAACTCAGTGTGACAATTCACACAGAGCCAGGTGGCAGCAGGAATTAACAGGAGATTTGCTCTTCTCTAATGGAGACTTCAAGCAGACTCAGCCTACGTTACTCAAAGTCGGCAAAATCACTTGTGACAGTCAGCCCCTATCAAGTCAGTTTTGATAGATTCTCAGACTGTCAAAGCAGGATTTCTTCTAGCATCAACACACTTTGCTTTTGACACCTACATCACATACAGTTGCCTAGCTCTCGGCATGCAGAACCTGATGTGCTTGTTTAGTACTTAAGCAGCTTCATAATCTGCAATGAGTTTAGCTATGATTTGGTGACAAGTAATTACTAAACCCAGCAGTCAGAATAGATGGAGAGTAGAAGGAAAGAAAAGAGGCTGCACAGGCAAAATGGAGAAAAATCTGCATATGCTGCTGTAAGCCTTTGAAATCCAGAAGCCTATTTTGTAATCAAAATAAAACTCAGTATAGCACCCAATATTCAAGAGTCATCCTTCATGGCCAACAGACCTTTCCTATATAGACTGCCACATCTCATAATCTCCATTCTTCAAGGTTTTCATGGCTCAGCCAGACAAAACTAGTGCTGAGCTGATCTCTAGTGGTAGTGGTGACAGTTGTTCTCTGAATGAGAGTTTGGACAAATTATGTCCAATGTACTTCCCAACAAATATTTGTAATTTTCTTGATTTAGCAAGAAATTGAGATGAGTAGTTCTGAATTTAAAAAAAAAAAAAAAAAAAAAAAAAAAGGAGTCATAGGATTCTAGAAACTCAGGTTTATACTTTGAGTCTCTTTGGTGAAACAGTATGATAATGCTCAAAAAGATATGTCCCTAAAATAACAGTATATTCATTGCATTGGCAGTCCACAAACCCATCCTGAATCTCAGATTCTACAGCTATAAGTGCTTTGTTTCTCTAAAATATCACCTTAATAGGAAGGATCCTAGGAAGAGAAGAACGGAAGGACCTTTTTGCCTCCAGGTAATTTCAGCTGCTCTGTTTACTTCCAGAGGTCTAGAGGATAGAAAAGATATCCTGAGCTCCTCAAGACACATCTATCTGCCCAAGTCTGCATAACCTCACATAGATCAAATGACAGCTAATATAGTAACCTTTTCCAAACGTGACCTATCCCAAATCTAGCAAACAACTAAAGACTAAAGCTATTATATCCTGCCAATAATCCCTTCACGTGTATAAGCCCCTGTTGAAATTCCCTTTCATTTTGAAAAGTTCATCCCTACTTACCACCAAGTCCTCAGTTAGTCCTACAGTACATCTTCTACCTTCATACCTTTCATACTTTATTGCATGACTCATTGGTTGAAATGCCTCACTGCTCTGTCCCAGCACACAATGACCAGCTCAGAGGTCTTAGCACAGTTTCACTCAGTGTTAGCCATCCACAGCTGCTGCTAGCCCAGACTCCACCTACAGCAGATCCCAAGGTTCCTATCGTTCTGCCAGCTGCCAAGAAGTGCAGCCAGTTCCCATAAAGAAGTTTTTGTTAACTCCATCACTAGGATTGAGCCTACAAACATCAAGCACATAGACTTGGCAGCCATGGTCACAGGCAAATCATTTCTCTATGCCACAGTTTCCCCATTTGTAAAACAGAAGCAATAGTATCCCCTGAAACAATTTGACAACTGTTGATTAACAATATAACAAAAGAAATAATTTTAATAATATACAAAATCAGTTACATCAAAACATATTTATCATTATAACAAATTTGAAAGGAACAATATAACTGTAACACCTGAAACCAGATTGGAACAAGCCCTTGTAAACAGTAGGAATGTAGATGAAAGGAAGCCTTGTGACAACAAGATATTCAATAAACATTGTTTGAGCAAGAAAGGATTTAGATCTCTAACTTCTTTATCATTGTAATAATCTTAAATATCAAGGATAAATCACATCTGTTAAAAAGTCAACAGTGGAGGATATGACATAAGTCTCTTACTGCAATCAGGAACACAAATCCAAACCACAGCAAGTGTGGCCTATCAGGAGACAGTGAACAACAGCTCTGTTCTAGTGAAGGACCTCAGTTTTGCATGACTGATTAACACTATCCCTGACTGAGTTATAGCTCACTTTTAGCTATTCAGCAAACAGCACATCTAAAATATCTGAGACTACACAAATTGACTAATTGCATATACTTTTGATTGTTACCTTGAAAGTTTGTAGACATAGTGTTTTTAATCAACTTCAAATTATATTCTAATTGGAAATGAGTTACAAGGGCAAATACCAGTTTTTGTGAAGTGCTTCATGGAATCTCCACTTCTAGCATAATAGCGACTAATAGAAGAACTTCTAGCTAGAAAGAAAACTAGCTCTTATCTGATAACATAGCCCCTTATCAGCTCATCAGTAATGCTAAAAAATGAAAAAAAAATGAGAGCACTCATGTGGCCCAAGACATAGAGGTTAAGCAGATTTTTTGATCAAACTTAAAAGCTTATATCCTAGCCTATCAAAATACAACTCATCTTTCCAGGCTAAGTAAGAAGCATGCACATTTTCAGTGCACCAGTAAGCAAATAGAAATGAGAGCCTATATTGTGGTAGTCCTCAAACAAAGTAGTGAAAACAACTTCAAAGTTAATTGTAAATTAATTGATTTCAACTGGATCATCAGAATTGGAATGGTAAATTAAATTGGTCTCCATTCCCTGCCTTGCCTAAATGGTCTCAAGCAATTACCTTGCTTTCATAGCTTTCAGGAGCAAGCCAGCCCTTACTCGGTTGCACTGATGCGTGTGCATATATTTACATGAGATGGTAAAATTTCTTTATACTCCTGAGCTCATTTGAACAGTATCAGCAATGTAAGTTATTTCTGCTTTGAAACTATAATCTTTCCAACTGTAGGAATTTCTCGAAAGTATTTTATTTTATTACATTATTATAAACCTATTCATCACTCAAAGCATATTTGTTGTTTCTTGTGTAATATTTCTATTTTATAAAACAAAACTTTCCTTTATACAATGCCTATCACGATTTAGAGGAGGGGCCTAGTTAGAAGGAAAAAAAGCCTTCCTAACTAGGGGTGTTTTATTGATTCTTCTAATGGCTTAATTAATATAAATAGGCAGCAGAATTTTAACTGTATTATTTCTAATCAGATTTTTTTGTCAGCTCATTTTAATCCTAATATTTCTGGCAGAAAATGAGTAGTTCCTCATTGGTTCTTTCATAGCGCCAAATGTCTCCCTTGTCCCACTAATGTAATAACAAACATCTGCACAAGTTCAGCAGAAAGATAGTGAGGCCTTAGGGGGGATATATTAAGTCATTTACATAAATTAAAAGTAATCCTGCTTTACCTTTGAGAAAGTGCTAGAGCTTATTTGTGCTAAAAAAAAAAAAATTATGGATGGCAACTAAAATTAATTCAAGTAAACAACAAATACAGTTAATTCTCATTTTCTACTGTATCTCTTTGGCTTAGCTATTATATCTACCTTCCCTTTCACGTGTAAATCAATAGTTATTTTCCAGTTCATTTAATATTTAACGTTTCTTAGTGTAAATCGTTTATCACCCAATTATGATTAAAATTTAAAACAAAAGATTTGTATCTTCCTTATGCATTGGATTCACTGGTTCACAGTTTTACTGAGGCTATCATTAGGGCTGGACACTATCATCAATACAAATTGCTAGGTTTTCAAGACAAACTATTTCAAATCACAGGAGATGCTTTAGAGGAGCATTCTATAATAGAGAAGCCTCAATTGTAGGTTTTAACATAGTTCCCTTAAAAGAGTTTTGTCCGTAAAAGTCATTACTCAGAATTGCTGGGCCGGGAAGAAAATAGTCATTCATAATTGTTAATCTAGTCCTTTGGGAGTATAAACATGGTATTTTCCCAGCTGATCCTGTGCTGAGCATAGAAGTGGAAGCGTTTATCCAGCTGACTCCATCAGAACCACATACACTGTTAAAATTTGTTTTGTTAAAGACTTGTGCAAAGACTGGGGTAACAGAGGACTTGGCTTCCTTCTACATATAGCCTCTGACTGTGCCACTTGTGGAACATTGATGGTTTGCTCGTCACTCCCTTATCAACACGGGGTGTTTCTACCAGCATTGATAGCCACTATGGAAATTAAGAGAGAAATCACAAGGCAACTACAGTTACTTAAGTGTCTCAGGAAGCTATTTAGGCATAAAAGATATAACTGTTTGCAAAAGAAGGAATAATTCAGTCAAGAAAATAAGACCACAAACCAGCAAGTATCTCTGATAACCTTAGCAGGTCCAGTTCCATGTGTAAAAGTAGGCATGCATATAAGTAGAGACTTCTGTGTAATCTTTTACAAGAAGCTTTGAGAGAAATTCTACAATTTCAGGGCAAAAATAAAAGCGGTTAAAGGGTAAAATAAGACAATATTATTTACTTTCATGCTTACTAGTCATTTCCCTGGGGGGGTCACAACTCTCTAAGCAGTTCAGCTGAGTTCTCCTCAGCTGCAGCTTGTTTAATTTATTAGGCCAATGTTTCTCTCAAAATCCCCACCCTTCTGCAGTCATTCTGAGTTGTGGTAATGTGGTCTCTTAGGAATAAGTGACTGTGTCCCTGCTGTCTGAGAAGTCCCCTGCGTACAGCACAGCACCTGTAGGAAGAATTCATTTCCTTCTTCAAAAGAGGAACCCCACTAAATGGCTGAGCAACAGGGTCAAAAAAGCAACCAGGTAGGGATTTATAGTGCTGATAGTACTTGCTCTTCTTATCTTTCTTTGTCAGAACAAGAAAGTAGAAGGATCAAAAGACCCAAATCAACCTTATACTTAGATGTACTGTCTTGCTACTGGCTCACAGAGCTGAAACAACTGTAAAATGCTACTTGTGATAAAAAAAAATAAATACTATCTATCTTGATTGGAAGTTGAATGCTAATTCTCTGTCTTTCTGTAGGTGTTGCAGCAACCAACAGCTGTGGGGAACCTTGTTAATTCATGCATTTCCTCCTTGTCTCGTAGGGCAGCAATATGGAACCAAGGGACAGCATAAAGAACTTGCTAACAAGCACACAGTGCCTGAATCACCGCAAATCACTACCCAGAAGATCTGTTGAGAAGGTGAACAAATGCATTCAGGTTGACATGGACTTGGAAGTGGAGAATCCTAGTATAGATTTGACTCTTTTTCCAAAAGTCAGCCTTTCCAAGAAGCCTCAGCAATGTCCAGGGAACGCGTCACCACCCCAGCAAGGTGTCTCATCACCCTCCCAAGGGCAGCCTGCTACACCAGCTCTGTTACCATTGCTTCCACCACCTCCATTCCTTCCCCCTAAGTGTAAGATTCCTCCCCCACCCCTTCTCATGCCTGGCATAAATGCACCATCACTCCCACCTCCCCAGCTGTGCAGTAATCCTGAATGCAGCCATTTCACTTGTGGATACAGCGAGCAGCCGTGCCCTAAGAAGACACCGAAGCTAAGGATGAAGGTGTTTCACTGGCAGAAGCTCCCCTCTGACGTGGTGAGACGTACGTGCCTATTTGTAACCACCAGGCTGATGCTAATGTTGGGAGTTAGGCCTTGGCTCAGCAAGTCAGGTCATACAAGTGGTCCTATTGCTCAACCTCAGTCCTACAAAAAAAAAAAAAAAAAAGCCAGTAATTGCAGATAGGAAAAGCCAAATCCTTTACTGGATTTGGACAAAGTGGGTGAAATAATAGTTTGGGCAAAGAACTGAATTGAGGCTCTGTGGCCACTAAAATGTCTTTTTCTTAATTTCCACAACAGCATTAAGTGATGCTGTGAAGTTTAATTAAGGTTTTCAAAACTCACTGAATTGCACTGAGTGGAAAGATGTGTGGAAAAGCAATGCTCTAAGATTCTTTGAGCTTTTTTTCTAACAAACTCCTGGCACACCATCCATAAGCGTTGTTTCAGCTGAAGCTTTTACTACTTTTTTGTATTACTTTGTTTTTCACTTGCACACCCAGAAGATGTATCCTCCAGGAAAACCCTTGTCGATAGGGCTGAGGAGCACCTATTCTCAGGGCAGGATACAGCCTCCAACTTCATTATGTTCTGACCATAGCTATGTATTTTTTTTATTTTTTAATTTTTTTCCATGAAAAATAACACTAAGGTTCCTGGCTAATGTGATCTGACAAAGGGGTTTGCATGGCCTGTTCCACTTTCAGCATGGAGACTGCAAACTCAGTTTCCAGTAAGGCTGCAGCTTTTAGAACTCATAATATGTCTTATAAGAGTCCTCCATTGTGCCTGTCACAAAGAAAGGGGGAAATCAGAGAGGTAAGAGCTTGCTTTTATGATAAAGCATATAAATGCATATGCTGAAAACAGTTTGGGTTCGAGTCTTCTTCCCTAGGTCATGATCCAAATTCAGACTCAACTCTAACATCTTCAGTTACGCTATTGCAATCTCTCCTGAAGAAAAAGGAGGTGAGATCCTTTGTTAAAGATTCCAGTGTTGTAGATAAGTTCATACTTTGAAGTGCTGTGTGTTATTCAGGTGGCTTCTAATGATCCTAGCGATAACACAGGGTTTCAGAGTTTTTATTTTCTGTCCAGAGATACTTAAATTTATTTAACTGGATGAAACATCCCCTGTGTGGCTCTCACAATTCTGCATTGTGTAGTCCATCAGTAGTAGTAAAAAGAACTTGAAGCAGCCCATTGATCTGCTGCCTTCATTTTGCTGAATCAGATATGGAGATAGTCTTCCAGATTTAATTATCCTTCAAACATTTGGGAGGCTGTCTTTGGTGTATGCAACTCTTAAATAATTAACAGTAGACCAGGACTAAGGAGCGTCATAGAATCATCTAGGTTAGAAAAGACCCGCAAGATCACCAAATCCAACCACCAAAAAGACCTCCAAAGTCCCATCACATAACTACGTTCTTTAGTGCCACGTCCAATCATCTCTTAAATAATTCCATGATCACATTTAGTTCACTTTCTGTTATATTTCTACTTATCACAGTGCCTTGAAAGCACTTCTTTCTCTCTTAATCCATCTTGAAGTGTTGATCTCTTCTAGAAAGCCGCTCCATGTGGGCTGTGGTACCAAATGGCAGCAAGGAGTTTATAGAACCTGATTACACAAGCTTGGAGCTACTTTTCTGTGCCTCACCAACAAAACCAAAGGAGACAAGACCAGCAAAGAAGTCAAAACAGGTACTTGGACTGTTCACTTTTTGTACAGCTTGGCAAATGTGAAAAGCTTATTCACTCTTTATTGTTGGCAATCTTCTATAACAAGGTAGAAAGGCTGAGATATTCTGGTATACTTTGCCTACAGCTGCCTTGAAACAGAAACAGGAGAGATCCAGAATTATATTTGTTACAGTAATTGAGTACACTGCTTACCTTTAGAATGGAAGAACTTGGGAATTAGGAGTGCTAATTCTTAAGAAATGCATTATTCTAGACAGATCTGTTCCCTTCTCTATGCCTCTGCCTCTCTCAAGTGTTATTACATGTACTTTTGTAAATTGTTAGTTTTGTAAATTGTTAGATTAATTAAGAGTGATGATAACATTGCTAGAGAAGAGTGAATCTGGCCCAACAAACAAGAGAAGCTCTAAAATTTCTGTTAAAATTAAGGCAGGTGACTGCATTTTTCTTTTTATGTTTTGGCAGGTCACATTCATTAGTCCAAAGAAAAGTCTCCTCCTGAGTATATTTCTGAAGCAGTTTAAGTGGTAAGGTTGGAGATAAGTGTATTTGTTTGATGAGCGTATGTATGTTTTAGACATTAAATGAAATAAATTTAGCAGGAACATTTTATAACCACTATCTTTTCTTAGCAAGGAGTCAAGATTCCTGACTGAACATTAAAAATTAAGTAACTTGGAAAGAGACATCTTGAGAAGTTCAGGTCCAAAAATCATTCACAATTTTTAGTTGGTTTTTCTATTAATAGAAAAGAGTTTCTATAATTAAGCAAATGGAAATCTTGTAAGTCACAGTCTTCACACTGGAATGAAAAGAAGCAGAAGAAAGGAATCTGTGTTAGTTTCTAGCAAAACAGAATTACTTTCAGATGCCCTGAAATACTGCAGGATGAAGTCCGTGGATGCCTGCCTTTTTGTGCAACAGCCCATGTTAGAAGGCTTTGAAAAGAAATTCATTTGAGAATAAACCACAGTTTGTCTGAAGGATTTTTTCAAATTCTTTTTCCATTACAAATTCTTCTTCCCAGTGGGAAAGAACTGTGAATAACCTAACCCAGTTGCTATTTCTTCTTTCTGCATGATTCCCTGGGTAGTTGTGAAGCTCTCCTGAGGGCACTTAGTGGCTGTGCGTTCAGCAAGCTGAGCCCCATTGTGACGGATGGGGCTGCCCTACAGTCAGAGCTGAGGTCTCCTGAGCCCAAAGCAGAGCAGTCTGGACACATTTCAAAGACATGTGGACTGCCAAAGTTACAGGCAAAGATTTGGAGTAAGGCTCTCTGAGATACTCATAAATATCTCTCAGCAGGAGGAGAGCTATCAGCTTTTAGCCTGGGCTTTGCTGGAAGCAGTGAAGGATTCAAGAGTAAATCTCTCCTCAGTGATGTTGGATGCAGTAAGAGGAGAGCCCTCTGGGTTTGCTGTGTGAAGAGGAACAAAGTTCAGAAAGCACATCTAAATGGTTAGAAAATTTCCTTCAGGCTTCAATGTCTCTTCCGTTCACAGCATCTCTCTTTCTCACAGCTCCAATGAAGAGATTGCTAACATGATTCAGAAAGGGGACAGATCCAGGTTTGATGCTGGGATACTGAAACAGCTACTTAAACTGCTGCCTGAAAGCCATGAGGTATTACAAAGTCTGCGAGTGTGACAGAGCTGGGTGTGCATGGTGCTTGGCTTGAAATATTTTTCACTGATATAGCAAGAAACTATGACTGGATCCTGCAATGGGCACCTGAAATAACTCTATGGGTATTTTGCTGTTTCATTTGTTGCTAGATAAACAAACTGAAATCTTGCAAAGAAGAAAGGTCAGAACTAGCAAATGCAGACCAGTTTTATCTCCATCTCTTGGAAGTTCCTAGGTAAGCAAAATTGCCTTTGTTTTCAATCCTTGAGTTTGACTTGTAAGAATCAACACCTTCATTTCCTGTACTAGAGGGATATTTCTAACAGTCAGTCCTCAAGATAAAGAACCTGACTGCAAATTGAACAGCTAGCTGTAGAAACCTTTCCTTCCCAAAGGCCAAACACATATATTTGGCAAGCCAGTGTTAATAAGCTACTGAGAAAACTTCTGACTGTTGTGCTGTATTGTCTGCAGCTTTGTGTCATGCAGACAGAACCCAGCCACCAGGATCTTACTCACTCCCATCTCAGAGACTCTGATACACAAAAGGGATCCCACAAACTAAGGGGTGAATCACAGCACTGCTGTGCTTTGACCACCTTCCAGGAATTTCCTTTTACGAAGTCAGATGAGATGCATACAGAGAGATCTTTGTGCTCCTCTTAAAAACAGTGTAATTTGTTGTAAATCATAGGAATAGCCTCCATAAATATGAGAAGCTGCCTGTCCCATAGCCTGAGATGCCTTTTTTGAAAATGTAGTGGTTAAAATGTGGCATTTATTTTTCTCAAAGCTACAGCTAGCTTTAAAATTACTTTAGAGAATGTTTTTATGGCTCTTCCACAACATTAATCCATGGCTAGGCATAAATATCATTAAAGGGCATCACTGAAATAGAATCAGAATTTCTATTTTGGAATTAAAAAGGAAGAACAAAAATCCTAGCTAGCATTGCCCAGGAATCATCAAAACTTATTGCCTTGTTATGCAGGGAAACGACTGCCAGATTTCAGCACAACACTGCTTTCTGCAAGAGGCATCTTTGGAAATGCCTCAGTGTTTGGTTTATTTATAATGCAGTTCTGTGAGAAGCATGTTGTGTCAGAACATTAAAGTGAACATAACAATGATGGTACTGCACTTTGCCTAAAATGGGTTATTCTCTGCTGAATTCAATTAATTAGGTGCATAGTTTTTACTTTTTCTTTTTTTTCCCCTGCTGATCTCTTTTAGCTACCAGTTGCGAATTGAATGTATGCTGATTTGTGAGGAAACACAAATTCTTCTGCAGTGTTTGTGGCCAAAAGCACAAGCCATCAGGACAGCTTGTGAAAGTAAGTGTATCAGAGATGTGCCGATGGCCAGTGCTCAGTCACAGGAAGCTTCTATTTCTAATATTGATGCTATTAGAAATGGCATCAATGATTTTATAGGCTATGATCTAATCAAAATTAACCTTTTAATTGCAGAAAACGTAGTTAACAATCAAAACAATTCAACAGATTCTTCCCCTTAGAGTTCACTCAATAGAATGGCAATTTGTGCTGCTCTGCTTTAAGTGGAGCTTCTGTCAACATGAATAAAACACATTGCCTCTTCTCCATCAGTGATCCCTGTACAGAAGAAGGAAATTTCCTATGTGTCAGCGCTAGATTTTGTTTGAATAGAGGTTGAATTTTTGTGCACAGCAATGATTTTTGTTCCTAACAATTAATCTGTCCCTGTTTTCCTTCCATCCATGCTGGTTGCATGCTGGTTGACGCATCACAGTCTGTACTGGCTTCCAAAACAAATGTCCCTGATGTTCACCAGTGTTTCAGAAACTCCCTTCACACAAAATTAGCCTTGGTTTTCATTTTAACACAGTATAAAGGATGGCACTGAGGCAAAGAAAAAAAAATGCTATGATTTTCTTAGTCTAGAATAAATGTACTGAAAATGCAGGCTATCAACTTTTGTCACTTTTAAGCAACGTCTCGTTTAGTGTGTCTCCCTTATAAGCAGCTGCAGTGATGACACATCCATACTTGATGGAAAAACTGGTTTTCCATATACTTGTAGAAAAGAGACTAAAACAGAAACTTTATTCATTCTACTTCCATTAAGTTGAATTACTTCTGTACTGGTTGATTTCCAAATCCATAAAAGAGGATTTGCACAATCTTGGATGAGAATTTTGTTAACTTGCTGTCAAATGTAAGGAAAACCCTGCTTCAGACAGCTCCATTTAATTTACTGAGAATGCTTTCTTATTCCTCAGCACTTCTTACCAGTCACCGACTGCCGATTTTCTGTCAATTGATTCTTAAAATTGGAAACTTTCTAAACTATGTAAGTAGGCTGATTTTTTTTTTTTCTTTAATTAATTTCTCTGTTTCCAAATATAGCCTCAAATACAAACACAAGGAACTTTTTTTCTGTATCTTCTAGGGGCACCACACTGGAGATGCTGGAGGTTTTAAAATCAGTGCCTTGCTCAAACTAACAGAAACAAAAGCAAACCAAAGCCACATTACTCTGCTTCACCACATTTTGGAGGTACAACAAAACTGTGAAATAATTTCTGTGTTTGTTACTCTCTACTATTAATTCCCCAGAAGCTAAGGGGCTGTAATTTCAGCAGTACCCACCATAGACATCTGAAGAATGAGCCTCTGTATCTGAAATACAATGAAAGCTTTGCCACCACTCCCTGGGCAAAAATAAAGATAAAACCCATTAGCAGCAGTGTGTAGAAAACGTAGCGTTAGCTTTCTTCCTCAGGTTTGCTTAACATGTCTGCTTTGTGTTTTCTTTCTCTTCTGCAACTGCTCTCTCATGGGGACATGCCTTCCAAATGCATCTGTCAGATGAGGTTAATTTTAGTGTTATGAAGACAAAATCTCAGGTCAGCTTGCGTGCTGTGGCAGCACATGGGATGTAAGCCTGAGCAGTTAAGAGCCTTTTTTTCCTTCTTCTTTCCTCCCTACGGCTGCCAACTGTGACAGAAAGAAATGAACAAGGCTAAAGTTACCCCAGCACTTATAAGGAGAAAAACTGAAGCATTCATTTTTCAATCCAGATATTGTCCAGCTTGAAAGACTTTCCTGCTCTTTGACAAACAGTGAAAGGTAATGATTTTTTACTTCAATTTTAGGAGGTTGAAAAAAACCACAAAGACCTGCTGCAGCTTCCCAGAGATCTTGACTTTGTTTCCAAGGCAGCAGGGTAGGACATTATTTGTTTTTGTCATGTATGAATTGCCTCTTTTAAGCTAACAACAAGCTGAGTCATTTTATGGTGGTGTAATAAGGTCACAGGACTTCTCTGGTGTGTAAGAGCATTTCTCTTCTAAAATCAAATAGTTCTGAGATTTGTAAATCAATGTGGTTACAACTTTTTATGTGGTGCTTGGTGGGATTCTTCTTTTAAATGCTCCACTACTACCTTAGAAATAAAACTAAGTAAATAGTGAACTTGATTTCAAGGATCATATTCTTCTATATATAGTAAAATAAATATTTCCTGAAATTGTTCCATCATACTCTTATGCCAGGCCATAAAGACTATACGTGCAAAGCTGGAATGAAAACAGAATGGGGCAGTTTACTAGCAAGCAGGGACCTCAGGAGCCCCTGAGTTAAATATCAGCACTTCCCTCTAGTACAAGTGGGTGAAAAGAAAAAAAAGACTAGTTTTGGTGAGCCTAATGCCAGCTCAATTTGTTTAGCTCAGAAGAACCACGTGAGGGACATACTGAATTGCACTAATCAAAATACAGACGTATAGCAGCAGGATTTAACAGTTCTAATCTTGTTATGAATTCATAGGAACCTCAAAGTGTTTTAATCTTCCTTGTAACTAGAAGCAAGTGTAACTTGTAAATCTGGGGTGAATTGACATTGTTAAGTAGCTGCTAAATAATAAGTTAAACGTATTTTGATTTGATTATGCAGTAAGCACTAATACAGGGAATGTCAGGGCTTTTGCTTGTTATCTGCAGAATTTATGTTGGATGTTGTTTTGAAGCACAATTTTTTTTTTCTATGTGCAATAATAGAGGTACTTTTGTTATCTGAATCTAAACCTTGCTGATGCAATAAATGTGCTCTTTTTTGTAAAGTAATTGCTCTTAAATTTAGCCAAACCCACAAGCTTATAAAATTGTTTTTATTAGTCAGCCCTGGGAGAGGTGTTTACAGTGCAAATCCTGCATAGGGCTCTTCTATTGCTGTTCATATCTGGATGCACCTTGTTACACAACATCAGGTTTTGGTGAATCAGTGATTTTCTTTTGGCAAATGTGGATATTTGAAGTATAAAACATGTTTGCACTGTAATATGTTTGGTCCTCCACGTGAGGTAAATGAACTTTGAGATAACACTTCAGGCTATAAATAGACGATGGAGAAAAACAGCAAGGAAGGAAAAGAACCATTTAATTATTGACAGTACTAGCACAAGAGTTGAGTGTGTGTTGCCTATGAATAAAAATAGACTGAAAATTTTGGAGGCTTTTGAACAGAGAGATTCTTCCCTGTGCTGTCCCAGGAAATGGTGGGGGTACAAGCACAGCTGCTTTCTCAGATGAGGGTTTGAGCAGCAGAGAAAAGGGCTTACGTGGAGGAAAATTACCTGCATAAGTAGGGTTTGGCTAGACGACTAATCCTACATTCTTTTGCAGAGATGTTTTTATAATCATTTTTAAATGAAAGCAAAAGACTCGCCCCTTTATTTTCATTGTCCCTTTTGTGAGCCTTTCAGGTTTCACTTTGACGCTATGCGGGCTGAAGCAGGTGACAATCTGAAGAAACTGCTGGAAATAGAGAAGCGTTTATTTTTGTCAACAGAGGATTTAAAAATACAGCACACAAAATTTGTTCAAGTAGGTAAAGGGGCACAATGTTCTTTGCATCCTGCTTCCCAATCACTTTCAATCTCTTCTCAAAGGCTCCAAAATTCAGTTTGTGATGGACACAGGGGTCTGTGGGCAGGGGTCCTAACAACCTCCCTCTGCACTGGGGTGGAGGAAGAGTCCTGTTTATTCTCCAATTCTGCAATGTGATACTGTGATAAGGAAACAGCTGAGGAGCAGTTAGCTATGTGTGTGGGCAAAAGAAAGGAAGATGCTAAAAATGAAATGTGTGATCTAACTATAAATATATATAGGACAGTAACATGTTTTGTCTCACTGCTCTTAGGGGAAAAAAAAGAAGTGAGTGAACAGATTTACAGTATGTTTTTATGTGTTTATTTCCAGACGTCCTAGCTTTAAAACTTCTCAAAACAGGCCTAAGTAACTAAAACTAAAAGGGGTAAATTCTGGTTCTGTGTATCCCCAGATAAGTCATCCCAGTGCCAAATTTTTGCCTGGTTACATAATAAAAGGGGCAGCATACAGTGAGCTTCCTTGGTCCAAATGAAACTGGGGGAAATGCATATGGTTCAGTTAAGAAAATGTGGCATGCTGTGACTGAGTCTTACTTGTCAGGTTTATCAAACCTGCTCTTAACTGGATTGGACTAGATGGTCTTTTCCAATGAATCTGCAATTCTAGGCAGCTCGGAATGTATTACTTTTTAATGTGCATAAACTGTTGCAAACTGTGTCTCAGAGCAGTGTCAGTGCTTCAAAGGACCTGCAGGAGGAGTTGGCCAACATCGAAAAGAAGAAAGAAGAACTAGCTGACTATCTTTGTGAAGACCGAAAAAAAATGTCCTTGGAAGATGTATTTAACACAATGAAAACCTTCAGGGAACTCTTCCTCAAGGCCTTGCAGGTGGTTTGCATTTGTGACTGTTTAGAAATAGATGGATAACTTTTCTTTGGCAAAGTCTAACTGGATAATATGTTTACATGTTGGTATTTTACTGCATTAGTTCAAACCTACAAGCTTTATGTCCACTACAAAGCTGCAGATTCCCTAAGAGATTGGCACTTCATTGACTTATAAAATCTTGCTCCTTGCATTAAGGGGTAAGAAAACAGCAACTTCACCATAAAGGTTTGCATAACATACTGATTATGCAGTATCTGAATGAATGCACTTTATCTAAGGATTTCTTAATGCCAGATGACAGTGGCTTCATATACATGTTTTACTGACTCCCGCAGAGCCCAAGGATGGAATTGCCTTCAACAAGTATTGCCAAAATAGAGAAACATCTGTTCTGGGCAAAGGCAGGACAAGAGAGAGTGAGATGTGCTTCAGGGCAAATCAAAGCTTCTGGTGAAAGAGAGAGAGAGCTTCTAAGTAGTGTCTGAAGGCAAAGTATGGAGAAGATATCCTTCATGTTTCTACAACCTGCTCCTCCTATGAGTCGTTAGGCTTCAGTTTTGTAAGCAATGCCATCAGCAGGCTCAGAAGCAATGTGATAGTGCCCCAGACAGTCTGGAAATTTATTATTATTATTATTATTTCAAAATAGTGCTTCTTCGTTCCCTGAGGGCTCTTTGTTATCTGTCAGATAACATAAACAGAGCAACACAAAGGAAATTGATAATATGAAACTACTTAATCTCCATCTAGTTAAAGAGGGGGAAAAAAGGTGTTTCAAACATAACTGACACAATGGGAAGGAGCAGGTCTTCACACAGGGCTGAATGTTCCCTACTACTCAGAAGATAAAAGGAGCAGAAGGCAGGAAGAAGGAGATAGGGAGACTGTTTTCATTCTGCTCAAAGATAAAACCCAGAATTGAAGCTACACTGAGAACTGAGTTGTAAAATTGTGGGGAGAACGAAGCAGTTTGATCATGGAGGGCTGGGAGAAACATTTGATTTCTCTTAGCACTTGCAGCTGTTCAAAGAGGGGAGCTCCCTACAAAGAAGCCATTTAATTTCAGGAAAAGGAGAAGAAAAGTTAAACAAAATCTGCTCTAGGAAATACCCAGATCATTACAAAGATTATACCAACAGCTCTGCGTGGGGATAGATTCGGAGTGCTCCCAGATAACCAAGCTGAAACAGCTGCTGCTCAGTAGGGTGTTGGAACAGGATGTGCTTTAGATAGTGTGAGGATATAGAGTTGTCAATGGAGCATCTTCAAATTCAGAGATCAAATATGTATCTGGCATCTCATAAAGTGTAAATCCAAAGGGAAACCCTTTTTATTTAATCTCATCCATACAGCTGTCTTCAGGACAGGATGGAGGAAGGATTGTGAATGTTCATTCCTCTGCCTAAGTGGACTTTCTTGTGTTGAAGTAACACTGTTAACAGCATATTTGTGTCAGATTTCTATGGCTTTGTTTTTAATTTCTCTGCACAACTCAGTTTCGGCTTGCTCAATCCATATTTTTTTCCTAAAGTGTTTTGGTTTGTATTTGGTACAGTGTGTACTGGTCAAATAGCTAGACAATGTATCTACCCCAAACTGATCTCCTTTATTTCTTGTGGTATGTTACACGCAGGCATTCTCCCAGGGCCTGTAGATCTCCAAGTCTCTCAGTCACCATAATATCTCTAAGACATTATGCTAAGGCACAGCAGGAATTTATCAGGCAGGCATGTAGGAGGCATACAAAGATGAAAGGCTTTTACCCTCACCCTAAAACCTCACCAACTGCATCTTTCTTTTGGAAGCACTTTCTCCTCAGGACAAATGTATCTTTTTATTTCTTTGCTGAGAAAGCACTGTTTTTTTTTCTCCTTTTCTAGTCATCCAGAGAAGGTCCCCATAACCTTGAACCTGTGGTGTTCCCAACTGGAACACTTCTAGACTAACTGGTCTAAAAGTTTTTTGTGGAAGAAATGATCCCAGCTTCTACCTTCTGTAAAAGATCTAAGGAAATTAAGCGCATTTTCTGGGACTTCTGTCTGGCTCATAGAAATAGTGGCAGGTGATCTGCAGCAATTAAGTAAATCTATCAGTACTATGAGAAAAAGTCTTTTCTGCTGCTAAGCTCCCTGCAAGAGACCAGATGTGTCTCACTGAGAATCTTATTTGCACCCATCATCATCTTTCAGGACATTAGTAAATTTTGTAATATGATACAGCAGCACAAGTCTCTATGACAACAACCCAACAACTACTGAGATACCTACAACACGTAGGTTAGTTATGGAGCTGGTTGCAACTAAAGCAGGTGAGCAGCCAGGTGGTGAAGGCAGTGTTCTGATGATGATTGTAGTTCTGGCACAAGGATTCCACAAGCATTTAAGTAAATGGCTTTTTGTCATCTTGATGTCCCACTGTAGTTAGTGTAGCTGATCAGAACTATCCTCCCCTGTGATTGTGCTATCTGTCAAAACCCAGAAATACTTCTCCATTGAGTGAAGGTCTTTCTGTACTAGAGGTAAACATTTAACCTTTTTCTTTTCCTACGTTAATTTTATCATCCTGGATCCAAAAGTTCTAAGGAAACCAGAGTACAACCTGTTTGCAACAGGCCCAAAGATTTATACCATCCTGACAGTGGGATGCCTCTCAGTACCAGCCATATGGTTTGGACTCTGCTGCTGTTGCTGAACACCACTGCATAAATACAGTGGGCAAATTTAAAGGGTGCCTGAAGTAAAACTGAATTACTGTTTAACACGGTTGGAATTTCTGGTAGAAGTCTCTGAGTACAAACAATATAAAACCAAGGTTGCTATGGGATAAATATCTAGAATGCTAATTAAATTAAACAAATGTTGAGTCTTGTGGGCAAAAAGATTCATTGGAAAGAATGTATTTCAGTCTGTATTTGAATTGTTGCAGTTAAAGCTATGAACTCATTTGCTGGCAACAAAAGATGGAGAAGGCATTGACCAAGAAGCTCAGTTGTGTTAATTACCCTCAACCCCAGCAACTGAGCAATGTTACTGTAAGTGTGTATAGGGCATATTTAGAATAGCTTTTAATATATATAAGTATGAGAGTATACTTACTGGCTTTTCCTCTTGTAACCCTTCATATTTAATTTTCTTCTTGTCATTTTATCTCAATGCAGGAAAACCAAGAAAGGAAGGAGCAAGCTGCAAAGTCTGAGAAAAGGAAGAAAGAACTCAAAGTAGAAGACACGAAAAGGCTAAAGGCAGAGCATGGAAAGAACAGTATATTTAGAAAAAAATGATTCTGTTTTTATTAGCCAGATTTTTATTAATTAGAAGCAGATTAGAAGCTTAGCTGTGGGTGATCCAACAGAGTAAGAGTGATGTAGCCATTGTTGATGCTATTGTTAAACAGAAAGTTTAGTAAAACATCAATTTTCAAGGGCTCATGAACGATCAGAAGAAATCATGACAGAAATGCTAGAAAAAATATCATTCCTAATGAGTAAGTTACTCCATTTTTCTTAAAGTTGAGTAATATACTGGTATTGCTCTGAACAGCTGTTTGAAAGCTTTTAGGGAACACAATGAGGTAGCACAAACTTGAACTTCAAACTGCCACACTGTCACTGAACTAGGCAAGCTGTGCTATGTATTATTGTTACCTCAACCTTCCCTTTTTTCTGACTAAAGTTCTGATTCCTTTAAGTGGTTATGTGTGCACTTTAATTATATGACTTGCTGCAAAACAGCAGTCTGATGTAAATTCAGAAAAGCTTTTGTTGAACTGGGTGTGAGGTATTTCTAGTGTTAATATTAATAGGCATGTATTTTAACATTATATTTTGGTCAATAGTTGACCTGCAGTTTTCTTAAAGATTTCTGCTTGGTATCATTTAGTTGTGATTCTTCATTCTTCAGTGAACTACTGCAAAACTGGCATTAGTAAACTTGAGAGGAGTTCACATAAATATTGCATTGGATGCTCACCCCTTGGAAGACTGTGTTCCTTTCTTCCTGTTGTCTAACTACATGGCCTTCTTTTAGTTCCTCCATCAAAACTACTCATCTTTAGAAATGCATTTGAAAAATACATATAAATACATTGAAAACTGTCGAAAACAATGTTTTCCATATTGTCTTGACAAGCTATACTGCAAATGTTTTATCTACTTTGCATACCTACTGTAAAGCTGCAGATTCAAACAATAAACCTTTTCTGATGTAAATACAGACAAGCAACTTAATATGTGGTAAAACAGAATTACAAAGCAACATTCAGATGTAAGAGTTAAAGGTATGTGCCAACCCTATGAAAAGCAAGAGAACCAGACCAGAATACATTTTCACTACACGGTTTGGATGGAAGTGTCAGTTTTCAGTCTCTTGTGAAAGGTAGATTTATTGAGATATAAATTTATTCAGTATTTGCTTTAAAAAATTGTGCTGAGTACAGGTGACAGTGAGAATCAGGCATTTTTGCAATCTTGTTTTATCTATCAGGATCAGATTGTTTAGCCTATGTATAATTTTATTTTTTTAAAATCACATACTTAGCAAATGAAATAACTGTTTTCTGAAGGAGAGTCTGAAAAGAGAGTAAATTTAGTGAAATAAAAGGCTTGGTACCACATGAAATAACATGAACCTTTAACTTTGTAGTTATGTCCCTTGTAACCCTGTGCATAAATCTTTGAGGCCCCAATCCCACGCTCTCCTAATCTCTGACCTTAACTCCAGTCACATGCTCTGTTAGTGTCAATGTCTGGTTTATCCAGTTGTCTGAGGATCGTTTCCCTGCAGTTGACAGACATGCCAGGAGAAACACACAGCAGCAAGGTCTCAGTGCAGGCCGTAATCTCGCTCTCTCTATTTCAAAAAGAAGATATGAAAGCAGAAGCAAATGTCATTGATGTATTATTAATAGATTACAAGCAAAGGCTTGCAGCTGCTCAAAAGAGCCAGAAAGCAGTCTGAATAGTTACCAGAATTCCAATGTATGGCACGACTTAGGGAACAAATCTCAGAACTACTTGACTGCATGTATTAAAAACAGCTTTACTTTCTACAGCTTCTGTTGCAGAAGCCTCTGTTGTTGGGCACTTATATCTTTCAGAATCGTAACAGATACATGCAAAGACCATTACTTTATATTATTTGCCCATAAAGCACTGGAATTTTTAATTAACCAAGGGGAAAAATACAGCTGCTTCTAATGCAGGTTTGGGGACACAGCTATTGACCAGAACAAGAAACAGAGCAAAAGCCCTTGGGACCAAAACATGAAAACATGCAGAGAAGGTGAGAATTTATGTATGTAACTGTGATACTGTAACCACAGCAGAGAGGAAAGTGTTATTAAAAGACAAAAAACAAGTAAGTTTTCATGAATGGTACTGGAGTTTTACAACATAATTATCACCATTACATATAGAAATCAATTGCAAATGCAGACCCCAAGCCCAGTGTCTTATGTTCTTATATGCAGGGTTAAATACAAGAGCTTTTCTCTGGCAAACTTCTTATTGTCTTTACTTACACAGGACTTTATTTGGCTCTAACAATCTGATATATGATCAAAAGCCATCATCATTAATTGGTCTTGCAATAGTAAGAACATCCACTCTCAGAAGTGTTTTTTGAGTGTCTGGGCAAAAAGCTTCAGAAGAGACCTACAGCACTGAGATTCAGCATGTTACTAAAGTTAGTTTAGGGGGTCAGACTGAATCATTTTTGCCAAATCTGTTTTTAAAAGTGCCCAAGGACAAAGGAACTCCACAGTCAAGACAAAGCGCTGCTGTATAAGAGTGTGAATCAGCTCTAGTGTTAGCAGTATTGGAGCAAAGCTGGCCTTTTTCACAGCTTCAAGCTTAATATAGCCTTATATGCCTTAAAATCTGTACATGTTTCTCAGATCAAACAGAACAACAAAAGATACCAGCCCTTTCCATTTCATCCTGTCCATGCAACAACCCTTTACATATTTTGTAGCTGTTATCGCAGCACCTCTGGTCTTTTTTTTCCTAGACTAAACAACCCCAGCCCTTACGATTTTCATCCTACGGCTTGTTTTCCAAAGCTGTGTAATGTACTTGTGAATCTCTTCTTCATTTTCTTCAGCTGAGTCTCCAGCTGGTTGGTTCAGCAGGGCAAAGGACATCTTCCTCTATTTTACAGCTTGTTCTTTCATCTCAGCATGGTGTTTGCCTTCTTTTACAAACACACAATATTTTGACTCCTATGCAGAGAAGCATCCTGGTCTCCAGTGTGATCTTACTGAATCACAGAATTTTAGGGGTTGGAAGGGATCTCTAGAGATCATCGAGTTCAACCCCTGCTAAAGCAGGTTCCCTACAATAGTCGCACAGGTAGGTGTCCAGATGGGTCTTGGGCATCTCCAGAAAAGGAGATCCCACAATCTCTCTGGGCAGCCTCAATCTCTCTGGGCAGCCTGTTCCAGTGCTTCATCAAGCAGACAGCAAAGACGTTCTTTCTTGAGTTATTATGGAACTTCCTGTGTTCTGGTTTCTGCCTGTTGCCCCTTGTGCTCTTGCTGCAATCTCACTGCCTCCAGCTTTGTACCATCTGCAGATTCAATAAGTGCACTCTCTATTGCACACTCCAAGTCTTTCATGAAAAGACAGAAGAAAATCTGAACCACATGTAGAGCCTTTGCAATTCGATCTGCACTTGGTCCAGATAAATTATTCACTGCTCTCAAAGTACAGTTCTTCACATGCTTTTGCACCATCATACTGTTTTTATCAGGGCGAGAAAACAAGTGTTTGCTAAAAACAGTATGATTTTGATCAATTTACTCTGCAGTAAATATTAAGTGCACTGTTTTAATCATGTGGGCATAGTCAGCTAGCATTAGTTACTGTGAAGTTAAAAGCATTACGTTTTTTATCTGAGTAAGCAGAACTTTGAAAGTTTTTCTTATGAAATCCCTAAGTGAAGTGTTGTCAGGTGGGCTGGTCCTAATGGATGAGCTTCCAGGAAGAGACAGCTCTTCTGAAACCCTGATACCGATTTCTGAGCTGATGGTTCATGACCTTCTTCGTTAAGAGCCAGCACCAGTCACCGACTGCTTCGTACTGCTTCTATGCTGAGTAACACGTCTTAAACTATTACTAAAAGATTTGCTTCCCTGCAAATTAGTTTGTTCATAACATGTTCGGTACTATTTTCATATGAAACAGATCCTAGACATGGTATGTTTAATACTGCTGACACTAGGAAGAACATTCAACTTCTGAGTTTCTGAACATCTCAGAAATATAGTCGATATGATTACTGACATGCCAAAGAGAGCATAAAAATTTTTTCATCACTGCTTAAAACAACAAAAACCCGGTCATAACCAACCAACTAAACAAAAGAACAGCAATAAAATTACTCAGGAAAAAGGTATGAGTTCCTACAGTATTGGTTAGATGGTAGGATAAAGAGAGAAAAAAAAGCCATGCAACAATGGCAAAGTTAAATGCCATACAAATAATAGTAAGTATAGCTTTGGAATCCTCTCTGACTTTGTAGTATAGCTCTGTACAGGTTCTCAAGCAGAGGAACAGCACCAGCAATATGTATTTCTTGTAGCAGAGGGTATTTTTCTATTCTAGATGTGTGGAGCTGACTAACAAGCCATCAGTTTCAAAGAGAATTAGAGTATGTGACAAACGAGTGACAGCACTGCTGTGGTTTTGCTGTCCTCAGTGCTCATGTTTACAAATCATACAAACAAGAATAAGTGTAATGTCTGATAAATAATTATTCCTCGGTGAGATGACACTGAAAAAAAAAGAAGGAAAAAAAAAAAAAAGGAGTGGAAGGGAATGAAACTGGGATAAAGCACAGAAAGGATGAGCAAAAGTAGAAACAGGCCATGCTGGCAATTCTTCTTTTGCCATCTATTGAGACAGAACAAATGCAGGTAGTCATATAATTCACTAAGCTACTCAGTGTGGTACAATTATGAAGAGGGCTTTGGCATTAAGAAAAGAGAAATTTAAGTCAGTAAGAAGAACTCCTTTTGCACCGCAGGAACAGCCCATATGTGAAATGTCAAGTAGCTGCATCTTGCATGTGAAATTCAAATGGCAGAAAGAGGTAGCAGTATTTCAGTGTGTGGAGAAGTGTGGGAGAGGAGCCAACTTTCATCACATCTGTGAAACCTGACATGTCCAGGAATGACTTAGGTGAGATATTTCCAGCTGAAAGGAGAAAATATTAGTTCCTGTGTAGACTAGGGAACTTCATGTGGACCACAGTGTACAATTCAAGCCACGCATGCTTAACAAATACGAACTGAGTTCAAATAGGTGCTTGGCAGGCAGATGAAAACGACCAGGGAATCGAGAGCCAGATAAAATCTACCTTTTACAGCCTAGCAAAACAAAGCCAGAAACTGAGTGTGATTCCTTCTATAAATAAAAACATGAAAAATGAAGTATTTAAACTAAATGACAACGTTAGCACAGAACATTTGGACATAAATTGACCAGAAGGCTAGAAATCAGCTGACGTTTCTAACTAGAACAGCTCTTTAATAGGTATTCAGAAGAAACAGCAAAGTGGTGTATGATTTAGTTGATGGCAATCACGAGGGAAAGTAGACCCAAACATCAGGAGATCACTCCCAATCTCCTCTTCTGTGTTTATCACCTTCACTGATCAATGCCAGATGATCAGCTGCAGATACAGTGTCACATCTTCCCTCCTTCCTTTTCCTTGAGAAAAAATTGCAAAAGCCAGAAGTGAAGTAGAGCAAATGTCTGCTCTGTCATCACTAATGCTTACAAAGTGCTGGAGGCCACAATATATTCTCTCCATTTCTATACACGCGCATACATAAATTCACACATGCACATCTACACACAGAGCACGCACATGAATGTCTGAAATGGGTTACACATACTGTTACAATTTTATTTTTCAGCACTTGAATGACCCGGTCTTTTCATCTTTAGACATATGGTCTATGCTGGTCTCCCAGTGACGGCCCGGTGTTCTTTCAGGTCAGTGTGCGAGCGTGTGCGTTTGCATGTCACCACAAGTCTCAGGTGTCACAGGCTGCCAGCGCAGGGCATGTGCCCGTCAGTGCCAACAGGCGTGGATATTTTAGGCGTGTGTGTCCGTCGAAGTGCAGCAGGCTGCGTTTCTCAGGTCAGCGTGCGTACCTGCGCACTGCAGCAGTCTGCGTGCCTGTCCTGCTGACAGCTCTGTGGTACAGGACACGGCTCCACGTGTGCTGATCCCCCACCGCACCAGGCTGCCCTCCTTCCTCCAGGAACGGGGCACCCACACGCCTCGCCACATTGCTCAGGCCTGCGCGTGCCTCACAGTAACGCAGCCCTGCGCGCCTCCGACCTCACGCAGCTCAGAGCGCCGCGTGTGCCTCACGGCCACAGCCACACGCTCTCGGGACCGCGGCGTCCGCGCACCCCGGTGAGATGTACCTCAGATGAGCGCGTGGCACCCCGGCGCCGCAGCCGCACGTCTGCCGACACGCAGCGATCACCGCACGCTTCCTGCGTGCGCCTCGCAGCCCCACGTGATCCCGGCCAAAGTCCGTCTGTCGGTGCCGCGGCCCCAGCTACGCGTGTGCGAGGGGCGCGCGGGCCCGCGTTCAGCAGAGCGGCGCGCCTCAGCGCTCGGTGCGTGCGCGGGGAGGGACTCGGGAGACCGAGGAAGCGCGGGAGCGGCGGGCTGGCGGGGCCGGGGCCGGCGGGGCGGCCGGACTCGCACGTCAGCGCGCCGCGCGGGGAGGGCGGGCGGCGGCGGCGCCGTTAAAGGCCGGAGGCGGCGGCGCGGCGCGGGTAGCGCGCAGGGGCCGGGCTCGGCGGGGGGCGTGCGAGGCAGAGCGAGGCGACGGCTGCGGCCACACTGCCGGCACCATGTCGGGCACCCGCGCGTCCAACGACCGCACCGGCCACACCGGCGCCGGAGGCGGGCTGAAGCGGGCGCGCAGCGAGCCGGGCGGTAACAAAGTGACGGTGGTGCTGGGGGCGCAGTGGGGGGACGAAGGCAAGGGGAAGGTGGTGGACCTGCTGGCCACCGAGTCGGACATCGTGTGCCGCTGCCAGGTGGGTGGCTCTGCCCGCCGCTCCTCCGTGCGCTCCTCGCCCTCCGCTCCCCGCTGCTTTCCCCGTTCTCTCCTCTGCACGTTCCCCCGCGCCGCCCCGCTTCCCGCTGTTTTGCTTCCTCGCCCGCTCCCGTTCCCCTGCCCGCTCTTTACCCCCTCCCGTCCCCTCTCCCTCAGCCTGCGCGCTGGGCAGCGCCGTGCCCCTCTCTTTCCCCCCCTCCCCGCCCCCACCTCCCTCCCGGGCGGCGCATGAAAATGCCACTCGGAAAGAAAAAGCCCGGCTCTATAAATAAAAACAGCTGACCCTTCGCGATAAGCGACACAAGATCCCCCGGCGCCGGGAGCTGCCCGCGGGAGTGTCGGGTGGCGGTCGCGCTGCCCCCTCACGGCGCTGCCCCCGGCCCGGCGCTGGGGACCCGGGTTCGCGGCGCCTGTCGGTCCGTTCCTCTCAGCGCTGGGAAGCGCCGTGTCATGGGGCCGGTATTCCCGCCCCGCTGTTATCCTGAAAATAGCGTTGTTTAACCGGTTCGGAGAGCGGCTGCGTAGCGCAAGTCCGCCGTGAGGGCTTTAGTGAGTCTTGTTATGTGTATGCGTAATCATAGAATCGTTAAGGTTGGAAAGACCACTGAGGTCGTCTAGTCCAGCCATCAGCCCTCGTCTGTTACCGCTCTGCGCTGTGTCAGTCAGTGCCACATCTGCCCTTTTCTTGAAATCTCCAGGGACAGTGACTCCACCCCCTCCCCCCGGGCAGCCTGTGCCAATGCGTTACCAGTCTTCCCTGAGAAGTTTTCCCTAATATCCAACCTGAACCTCCCCTGGCGGAATTTAAGCCCATTACCTCTTGTCCTGTTGCTGTTACCTTGCAGCTGAGGCTGCCTTGCTACAAACTCCTTTCAGGTTATTGTGGAGAATTATAGTATTTCCCCCTGAGCTTCCTCCAGACTGAATAACCCCAGGTCCCACAGTTGCTCCCCGTAAGACTTGAGTTCCAGACCTTTTACAGCTTCATTGCCCTTCTTTGCACGTGCTCCATAATGCAAGGAATCTTAAAAGCTAAATCTAGTCACTTAATACAAACTCAGTTAGACACTAAGGCAGTCGCTAATAATTGCAATAACTTTTTAAAGGAATGCTTTCAAGTATTAATCACGAACTGTGGGTGCTGCCCCATACTTGGAGGTTCTCAAGGCCAGGTTGGATGGGGCCCTGGGCAGCCTGATCTGGTATGGGGCAACCAGCCCGCAACAGGGATT